CTGGAGCCAAATAAAGCCAAAGCAAATGGCACGCCGACGCGGATTAGCGTCGTCGTGCCACTAGCTTTGGCTTTGTTTGTTTTCAGCCACAGCTCGACATAATCTGGTCATTGATAGGCGATTATATGGTGGAACATACCACTATTATATATCACCAGAAAGCTGTTGATGAGGAGAATGCAATGGGGGTGTTTGTATGATGTTCTGGGCACATCTGTGGGTGCTACAAGCCAAACAACCCACCATAAGTGACTTTGTGTCACAATCTGTCACTAATGGGGATCAACATGAGTGTAGGTCAGTGTCTTTCTGAGCATAATATGAAGTATTATATACCATAAGGTTCAGAAAATTGAGGTCTACACAATGGTGCTGTTGGTAGGTCAATAGGATGCTATTTGCAGGTATACATTGGGGTAAATAGATGTTTGGGTCCAGATAATGCAGTTTATTTGATGCCTTGCTAGCACAATCTTCTGCCCTATTAACAAAAGTGTGTTCAGATGTAATAAGGAGACCGACCACATATAATAGCCAGCATGAGAGCTATCAGTTATGCATACAATCTGGTAATGACCTTCAGCCACAATCAGCATTTGGGGCATTAAAGGCTGTATATTGCATATAATAATATGATCACACCACCATTAGATGCACATTGAAGAGACCTTTCTAGTGGTATATCATTGTCCCATGGTGTGGTGCAAAATAAGCCAACAAGGGGCAAAATGAGTTGCAGCTGTGGCCACCAACTGTGGTCTTGCTTGGTTCCCACTACAAATGTCTCAATATCTTGGCCCCCACTAGCCCATATGTCTACAAAGTCCTATTAGTGCCACGATTGGAAGAAAGTGCCCATGGCACATGACCTGATGACATCATTGCCTCCTCCCTAGTGTTTTATAACACCGGGTTTAGAACTTCAATGTCTATTAAGTGGTGCTGTTATATGGTCATTACATGAACCTAGAAGGAGCTCAGAATATCATGAATGCAGTATTATAGCTAAGATGGGGCTGTTGCACTCTATTTAGCAATCTAATCAGGTAATATGGTTACACAAGATAGAGTATACAGATAATAATGGAAGCCTAATAAAATTATCGCTCTGCTGAACATTGCCCTGTTGCCTTTTGAAAACAGTGCATAGTGTAAGCATCTGAAATATCATTGTTGTAAAGTGTATGATCAAGCTATTCATTGAAGGGCTTGTTCATTGTCTATCTGATCCATTTTATGCCATGACAGTACTTGCAAATATCAATGTCTTCCTGGGCAAACTCAAAAAATCAGCAATAGGCTGTAGTGAGTAAACTCTCACCTGTAAATTGCCTAAGTAAGCTTGAGAGGAAGCCTGTAATGCTAGAGAATCAGCCCTGCTCACTATAGGAAAGGAGTGACTGTCATGTAACATGGATAAGACTACATCTATGATATAGTAAGCCAATATTTTCACTTCATTCAAGGCTTGGGCACAGCAATGTTGATTACCATGGGGCTTTCCTAGCTGGGCACAGAGGTCAGATAATATAAGTTTGGATTGGATCAATAGCTGAGTGTGACAAATGAAGTGGAAAAGAATACTGGATGCTTGAAAACAAATACATCTGAAATATTGATCAGATATAGTTTGTATGTGTGAGAAAATATTGATTCACATTGTCCTGCATATTGTGATTGGATGAAAGTGGTGCAATTATAGCACATAATATACATCAGTGCTTATGAATCATCTGCACTGTGTGAAGGACACTATTGTCTCGCATCTGCTAATGTACTTCTGCAGTGGCTGTAAACAGTTTATAACAGGTATACTAGTATATTTTAATATCCAAATTGCATACACTAAAATTGTGTGCACCAATAAGGTGAATCACTCAGAAAATTGTGATTTGTCGTTGCAGTGCTTACATAGGAGTATATATCACTCCTATTTAGATAGCACAGATCCCAAAGAGCAAATAACAAATGGCAGTTTGATTCAATGCCATTAAAAAATTCATTCTCATCAATCGCACCTGCCAGCCATGGCCCTCTCCACCCAAGTTGTATTCTGGCTCTGTTGTATTTACAGTGCAATGTGCCGCTCATATATCTACTTAACCACCCGTGTGACACCCAATGTGCTCACGTGTCTGCATCCGGCCAAACACGGTTCCTCATGCTCTCCCTTGCTCTCATCCGCATGCCCTAAACTCCTACATTATGGATGTTTTTGACCCATGTCTCCAGCCATTACCACTGATTTAACCTCATTGCTCACATAGTGGGAAGATCACCAGCATTTTTGGCTTTTAAATCAGCTGTTTGCACTTTGTGCTTAGAATAACAGGAATATACATGCTGTAGCTATCAGCATATGTGTGATATTGGTTAGTAGTTTCCACAAATTGCTGATGTGCTTAGATATTGATGTATTATTGAACTGAGAGCTGTACACTATATGTCTGAGGCCATTAAGCAGGTTCAAGGATTCAAGGAACCACACCTCATCATTTGCTTATGCAAAGACAGTCAGTGACATATAGAACACTATTGAGTGTCTTTCACATCATCCATGCCTACAACCATCACTCACTTTCACCACTCCCACAATGGGATCACATAGCAAGAAACAAAGTAGTTTTGTTGTGACTATATTCATACAGATGCACTCTGCTCTCGTACAGCGGCCGTCGTCATGCAATAGGTGAATAGTAGCTAGCTCACGCGCCCCGAAGCCGTATGTAGTACATTAGAATGTCGCCTGCGTCCGAGTGTGGTATGTGTGCGCTCTCCTTTGACCCCTCCGGAGCGGCGATGCCGCCACCCCTCACCGTCGTCCTCAGGGCAGCGGCTCGCGGCTGGAGGACAGCCGGTTGAGGTGGATGTAGACATCCGTACCGAAGCCGTCCATCGAGATCAGGCGGAGGTCGCCGCCGAAATACCGTGCGTACTGTGAGAAATCGTCAGCGGGCGACGCGGCACAAACGGGCAACAAGACACTCACGAGCCGCGAGAGCGGGAGACCGTACCCGAACCCAGCCATCGGCGCGCGGAAGTCCGAGTCCGCAAAATCCTGGTCGATGTTCTGGCCGTCCATGGTCGTGTACATGTACGTCCAAATGAGCGGGATCGCGGAGCGCGCGATCCCGCCGCCCTCGTCCGAGATCTTGATCGTGATGTCCTCCTTGCCCTCGACGACGACGACGCGGATCGGCGGGAACGCGTCCGCCTCCGGCCCGAAGCGCTCGACGACCGCGCGCAGCGAGTTCTTCAGCAGCTCGAAGCAGATGTGCGACAGGTGCCCCGGCACGTACGCGAAGTGCAGCTCCTTCGGGCAGATCAGCTGCACGGGCGGGCCCTTGAACATCGAGTAGTGCTCCTCGCACACGAACCGCGCGTTCTCGATCGCTTCCTGCACGATGTCATGCACGTTCTAAATGCGCCGTGAGTACGGTCACGCGGAGTTTGGGCTGGCGCGAGCGGAAACTTACGGCGCGCGTGCAGATGATGCCGACGTAGTCCGGATGCGGTTGCAGCGTGTTCAACGCGATGTCTGAATACACTAGAGGGTGAGGATCATCACAGCTGCGACGCGCGCACGCGACAAGGTCACGCACGTTGGCCAATGAGGAAACGGATGCCGATGCGCGACATATAGAAGCGGTCGAGCCAGTGTTGGACATCGAGGTTGATGTTCCGCGCGTTCATCGAGCGCTTCCACTCAAGCACGCCCTGCGCGACGGTGGTCACGGTCGGGTCGTGCCGCTTCTTGATGGCCTCGAGCGTCTTGGTGAACCCGCGGTTGTATTCGCGCACCTCAGGCGGCCACTCTTTCACGTGTGACATATTCGCGTAGTATCTGTGGACGGCGGATGTAAGCGATACGCGCGATCGGGGCGCGCGCGGCGGCGGCGCGGCGGGATGAGCCAAGACTCACCTGCGTTCCATCGGGATGCGCATCTTTTGGCCGTTGCCGCCCCCCTTCTCGTTGCCATTCGCGCCCTTGCCGTTCTTGGGTGTGGAGACGATGCCAAGACCGGTCTGTGGTGTGCCATAGTCGTCGGAGTAGTACTGGTAGTGGAGGGAAGGGTTCGGGAACGCTTCTGGTAGTGATACGGGGTCCACTGGTGGTGCAAGGAGGGCGGCGCGGATGTCGGCAGGGAGGCGGATGGGCGGAAAATGGATGAGTTCCTGGGAGGAGTCAGTATGGGAGAGTCAGAGCGAGGCGCGGATGGGGGCGTACCTCGAATGACTGGGCATACCAGTTCTTGACCTTGTTGATGGAGGGCATGTCACTGAGGTTGTGAGGGAGCTGGTCGAGCTCCTTGACTCTGTGCGCTAGCCGTACTGGTAGCTCCTCTGCGTGCGGGTGTGAGCAAGTGCGAGGGTGCACACGAGCAAGGGGCTCACCTAGGAGGAACTGACTGCCTCTTAGCAGTGTACCCTGACTTGGGTTCTGTCCGAAGAGGACCATCTGCTGGAGAGAGACTGCAGGATGCGCGTGAGCTCGCTGTGGGGTACGCACGGCAAGCAAGTGGCCGGAGTCACTGACCTCCGGTCTGAGGAAAGGACGCATAGTGATGGATGCGCTCCCAGAGGCTTGAGGATATGCGAAACATGGTGGGCGCGGCGTGGTCGTCGTGAGCTATGGAGGGGTGCGCGAGGAGGAGGGTAGCATGGGCGTCGGAGGAGAGAGAAGAATGCGGGGTCAGGCGAGACGAGAGCACTCGAGAGCGGGGTAAGCCCACAAGCGCCCGCTCCGGGACGATTCCGAACAGAAAAGGCGCCCTAGATCGGCGCTAATGCCACCTTCCCCCGCATTTCCGATTTCACGTGTGCCGCCCCGCCAAATCACCCGCCTCCCATTCGCATTCCCCGCCTTTCACTCCTGCCACAACATACCAGACGGCCGGGACATAGCGGTACACAGGAAACAACAGGACATGCACGCAGCGTCCATGCAAGTGCGGATCTCTTTCTTGCCCTCTTCCTCGGCCGCTCTAGCCCCATGCACACAGCCAGGCCCGCGTCCACTGGTCGTGATTTCCGCCAGCCTCAGCTTCCGTTCCGCGCACTTCCGCTCATCTGCGCCGTCAATCTCACAGTGCATACCGCTCGGATACACCCGGTGAACTCTTTGCCGTCAACGAGAACAGCGGGTAGGGCACGATTTGCTACACTGACAGTGCTCCGGAATTGGAGACAGCGAAGTTGCTCACACTTCCGCCTCATTTAGGCCCCGTTTGTACTCGACATACCCGTCGCGCACATCTGGTGACCCCACTAGTCGACATATTCTATCGGCGTCATTCTCCTGCGCTACGCCCACTGGCGTATGTACGTCGCTGACGAGTTCGCAAGGTCGTAAATCCGATGACAATTTAAACAGGTACGCCCATCCCTCTCCAGCGCAAATAGCACTGACGGCGCCAGACTTGCAGATAACCCTGCAGGCTGTCGCGCAGTGTGCGTTGCACGCGCCATTCTAGACGCATGCATGCACGATGTGGCTATGTACGCGACGTCGTTTGTATTGCGAGTCGGACTTGTGGCAGCAGCGCCGTCAAAACAGACACTCACATGTCCGTGACAACGCTGTCTGCAGCATGAGCACTTCCTCTTCCTAACTGTATGAGCTCACGAGATGTTCGTTGCACCCGGTTAATGGCGATATCCTGTACGCCAAGGCGCTGTGAACATCCGCCTCTCGGAGCGCTGTACGATCTGCAGCGTTGGTCCCGCCGATCCTGTAGCCCCGTTACCTCCGCGGCTGCGCCGAATGTCTATTCTGTACGGCGTATAACATATCTCTGTGGCGTTAGGTGCGTTATCATGACGCCCAGATGTGAAATGCGTTGACGAAGTTGCGTCTTCAGGTCGCTCAAGCCGGAATCTGACATAAACTGCCTGAGGCCTCCATGACTTCCACGGCCGCCGACCATCCATGCAACTCACACCTTTGCAGACAAACATATGTAACCGCGCGTCCGGAGCTTAAGCTATCTTCGCGCAGATCCCGCAGGCCACTTCGCGCCTTCATACACACGGCCAACACGCACGTACGACGCACTCTCGACGCGGGATCTTCAGGCACGCTCGCTAGGTCCTGCGCTTCGTATGCCGGCTGCACGACGGTCCCAGTCCTCGCCCTCCGATCCGACCGCTGACGTTGTCTACCTCACACTCGCGTTCACAGTCTTAGCTTCTCTTCACGACATACAAGTACAACAGGATACAACAGTCTATACACACAGGTCCGTCCGAGTATGATTCTCTTCTCCGTTCTCTCTAGCCTTATTCACGCCCTCTTCCACTCGTAGTGATGTTTACCTGTTTGCAGCTCATTCAGCTGTCATACTGCACATCAGCTCTATCGACTCACCTTTCTTCACCTCGCCATCACCCTCCGACTTCATGTCATAGTTGTGCGATCCGAAGTAGTCCAGCTCGGCCTCCATGAACTGCGTCGGCAGGTGCTTCCCCCCGCAGTACTTGAAGTACTCCAGACTCGCACTCAGTGTTGGGCTATCCCAGTCTCTCGTCAGCCCACATCTCCGCCCGTGCTGTGGCAACGACCACTCACATGTGCGCGTTCCACTCCAACGCATGCTTCACCACCCTCTGCAGGCTCGGCATCGTCCTCCTCACCTCATCCGCGACCGCCTGCAGCATCAGCGTATTCAAGCACCCCGGCTCAGTCTCATACAGCGGCTGCAGCAAGTCCGCGATCGCCTCCGAGCGTATAATACACCCCTCGCGCCAGATGCGCACACACGTCCCCAGCCTTACGCCCCACCCCTCGTCCTCGCTCGCGCGCGCGATCAGATTCATGCCTTGTGCGTACGACGCAAGGCACGCGCAGTACGCCGCGAGTCGCAGATCCTCCGCGAACGCCTCCCTGAACGCCTCGTCGACGTGCTGCTTGCGCGCGGCGCCGAGGTCCTGCCCGAGCGCGGCGACGACCTGCATGCGCTGCGCGCGGTCTGCGGACGCGATGCGGAAGAAGTGCGCGCTCGCGATCGTCGGCGCGGAGACGTGCCGCTCGGCCGCCTCCATCACCGTCCAGAAGCCCGTCCCTGGCGAATACGTATAGCGTTCAATAGCCTCTGAGCGCTGCGAGAGCACGTCGAACGCACCTTCTGAGTCGTCTGCGTCCTGCACGACTTTGTCCTGCACCTCGTTCACGATGTGCCCTGGGGCGCCGTCCTCCTTGTGCCGCCGACATATGTCTGCGCCGATGCCGAACAAGAAGTTGCCCTTCTACCTTGCGCAGTCAGTCCCTTTGCACATACAACCCAGCAGCCGACACGCACCAGCTCGCCCTCCGCAACCCAGCCCTCGTATATACCTGCGATTGCATCGAGGTCCGTGTCCAAACACTTGTACAACACCTCCCACGTCTCGCACACAATGCCTAGCACGCCCTGCTCGATGCCGTTGTGCACCATCTTGACGTAATGCCCACTCGCGCCCGGGCCCACATTCGCCACGCACGGTTTTCCGCTCTTCTTGTCCTTCGCCGCGACGCGCTCCAGCAGCGGCAGGACGCGCTCGACCGCGGCGGCGTCGCCACTGGGCGAAATGGACGGCCCACGGCGCGCAGCCTGGTACCCGCCCGAAACGCCCATAGAGAGGTAGGCAACCCCCCGCGGACGCAGCGCGTCCTGGCGGCGCGTCGTATTCTCATACCACTCGTTCCCGCCATCGAGAATGACGTCGCCCTTCATCAAGAACGGCGCGATCTGGTCGAGCACGATATCCGCCGCGGACCCGTGCGGGATGCTGAACACGAGCAGCTTGTCCGCATCCTTCCCCCCAAGCGAGTCCATGAAGGCGGGCAGGTCTTTGTAGCCGGTGAGCCTCGAGCGCAGAGCGGGCTCGAGGCCGCTGTGGGGGTCGGCGAGGATGGTGGTGAGGGCGTCGATGCTGTCGGGCTTGGCGTCGTAGAGGGAGACGGCGAGGTCGTGCTCGGCGAAGAGCATGGCCATGCCGGAGCCCATGGAGCCTGCGCCGACGACGCCGATCTATGCGCGGTGAGCGCCGCGCGAGGACACCATGACGAGCGACCTGCCTTTGTGAATTGGTCTGGCATGGTGGTCGTGGTCGAAGAGAGTGTTGGAGGTGGCGGTGGGTATACGGCGCAGGATGAGGATGGCATGACGTCAGAGGATTGAATTATACTTGATACATGTATACAGCACGGGTCTCCTTGTATTCATTCCAGACTCGCAAGCATTCGCTGTAATTCGCCAAAATACACAATCGCCCGGGGTATATTCTTCCCTTTCACATTCGCTTCGCTCGTTAGTTTCGTCACTGCGCTGCCTGCGCAGGAGGCATCGGCCGCGGCTTCGTCACCTCCTCGTAGATCATCACTGCCGTGGCGTCAGTCGTGGGTGCGTGGAATAGCTCCGAGTGGACGCACCTTTCAGCTGCTCCTTGCCCAGAGGATCGCCGTTGTCAAAGTCGAAGAAGCTCGGGTCCAGCGGCTCAGCCGTGGGCTCGTCCTGCGGGTCGTGGTACGCCTGTCGCACGGTCCCGGTCAGAGTCCGCGGGTACCCACCGTCGGAACCAGACGCACCTCCAAGTATGGGTGCTTCAGCGCGTCCTCGACCTCAATCCGCCTCTTCGGACTGAACGTCAAGCACTTCTCCATCAGATCAATCGCCTGCGAACGTGCACACGAGCCCGTGGGTGAGCGCAGCCCCCTCTCCCGCGGCACAGCAACGAAGCCAAAACGTACCAGCGGATTGGCAGTCGGGAATAGCGTGCCCAGCGGCTTCTTCTTCCGAAACGGGAGCGCGCGGATGTACTCGCGCGACCGCTGCGAGGTGATCGCGTAGAAGTCGTCCAGCGACGGCGTCCCCAGGATGTCCAGGATGATCGACAGCTGATGGTGATCTGCCACAGCGAAGGGATCAGTACTGCGCGGAAGCGACTCGAGCGGGTGCGGGGTGTGGCGTACAGTCGCGCCCGGGGAAGAGCGGCTTGCCGCTCAGCATCTCTGCGAGCACGCAGCCGACGGACCAGATATCGATCGCGCGGGTGTACTCCTTGAACGTGAGCATGACCTCGGGCGCACGGTACCACCTTCGGGACGGATATAGCGGGCGCGTGACGGGTTCTTTTGTGAGATAGACCGATAGCAGGAGGGAGTGTGCGCGCACCTTGTCGCGACATATTCGGTCATGAACGTGCTGCTGTCGTTGGCAACATTCGGTGGCGGACGTGCCGAACGGGCAAGTCCGAAGTCGCAAAGCTGTGTGGCGGGCGGCGTAAGCGAGTGCACATAACGCAGCGCTTCCAAACGGACCTTGAGGTCGCAGTTCGCGTTCAGAAGCAGGTTAGAGGGCTTTAAGTCGCGGTGGAGGACGTCGGCCGAGTGCAGCGCCTTGAGCGCGCGAAGGGTCTGGATGCAGAGATGAGCCATCCGAAGCCTAAGGACGGGGTGTGCGGTCGCGTGCATGGGCCTAGAGCGCGCCGGATGAGACGTACCTGGTAGATGAAGTACTGGCAGTGGTCGTCGGAGAGCTGCTGGGTGCGGATGACGCGGTGGAGGTCGGTCTCCATGAGCTCCTGGACGAGGTAGACCTCCTTGAAGTCATCGAGGTTGGGGGGCCGGAGGATGTCGAGTATTGAGATGATGTTCTCGTGGTGGAAGTGGCGGAGGAGTTTGATTTCACGGAGGGTGCGGAGACAGAACATGGAGTGGTCAAAGGGGGTGATGCGCTTGATCGCCACCTTGCGCTGGGATGGGACATGCACGGCGGAGCTGGAGAGGAGGGCGAGAAAGGAAAGGGGTGAGCGGGGGCGGGGCACTGCGATACGCGGGACGCGGGACACACCAGACGATGCCGTAGGCCCCCTCGCCGATGACATCGAGGACCTCGTAGTTTGCGCCGACGATGAAGGAGGACATGCGGTCGTCCATGGCGGGCAGGGGTGGGGAGGAGGAGAGGAGGACGGGGTCGAGGCGAAGAATACCACCAAGAATCACTTGATCGCACTCGCTAGACGCCGGGCGAGTAGTCTGCCTCGCCGCCGAACAAGTCCTCCTCCTCCTCCTCCCTCTCCTCACTCCCCCCGCCCGCCCTCGTCCTGCGCTCGCTGTCCCGCCTGCTACCCCCTCTTTCCCGCCAAAACCCTGAGGAGATGCCTGCCGCAGATTCCAAGCACAGGGAGAACGACTCCGAGCCCGAGCCCGCTCGCGGCGAGGGCCCAGACAGAGACAGAGAACGCGGAGAGAAGGACAAGGGCGGAAAGCACAACAAGTCCTCTGCAAAACGTACGTCCGCCCTCTCCCCCGCTGCATCCCCTCTCATCCCCTCGCCGTCGCCCGACGCACGCCCCATCCAGCAAAGGACCTCTCCCATGTTCCCTGCAAATTTTTCAAAGTCGGCTCCTGCACCGCAGGCTCCTCCTGCCCCTTCTCCCACCAGACCCTCGAGCCCGGCCAGCACAAGGAGACCTGCGCATGGTTCGTCAAGGGCAACTGCAAGTTCGGCCACAAGTGCGCCCTCGCCCACATCCTCCCCGGCCAGTCCATGTCCATGGACCGCAAGAACAAGAAAGCCGCCCAGCTCGCCGCCAACGCCGGTGGTGGCGGCGGCAGGGAGGGCTCGCGCTCCGCTAGGGGCAACAAGGGCTCGCAGCAGGGCGGCGCGGCAGGCGGCCCAGGCGCACAATCACGTAACACCCTCTTCTCCGGCTCGACCGCCCCCACCCGCAACGCGCGCAACCCGATCCCCATGCCCCTCAAGGCCACCCTCTCCCCCTCCGCCCCGGCCCCGCCAGTCAAGGACACCGACTTCGCCTCCTTCGGCCTCCCCGACGAGTCCAACAAGCTCGCGAGCGCCCCGGCCCAGGGCAAGGCCGCCACCTCTGCCGGTGCAGACGACCACCAGCAGCCCGCCACCACGGACGGATCAAAAGGAGAATCTGGCCAGGATCAGTCTCTGGCCGAGGGTGCCTCGCAGTCTCCGCTGCCCACCAGCACGCCGTCTGCGCCGCGCCGGATCAGCGATGCCTCTCCCTCGACCGATCTCGGACCTATTGGCTCCCCTCCGCGTGCGTCCTCGTCCTCCAGCAGACCTGCGCGTGTCAACGGGTTTTCGCCTGGGACGTCGCCCCAGGGCCCTGGTATCTCGAGTTCTCCGTTCTCTGCTCCGGGCACGCAGTCGGTGTTCGTCATTCCCCAGCGGGATGACGGATCTTCGGACTTTAAGAACAGGTCCGCGCTGTCTGCCTCGCTTGGTGCTATGACCTGGGGCTCGGAACGCGTTACGATCACCCGGAGGACTATTGCCATGGAGGAGGTCGTGGTGGAGGACGAGGATCTCGAGGACTTTTTGCCCAGCTCCTTGACCGACTTGCTGACTCCAGAAGAGCGCTCGCGGCGAATGTCGCGCACAAACTCGCGCCCGAACGTTCACGGCGCAGACCGAGACCACAGCGCACAGAGGTCAGGTTCCGAGGCCCACCACCGCTACTCACGCTCTGTTCCCGCGCCGTCGCTTCTGCAGGACATTCGGTCTATTTGGTCAGACGCGGGTGCAGTCCCTGTCGGCTCTCCGGATGCATCGACGCTGAGCACGAGCCACCTCGGTGGCGGACTCGGAAACGGCACGCCCAGCTCGTTCACCTCGAACTCGGGACTCGGCTCGCGCGTCGACGACATGCTCAACCCGTCCAACGCGTCCGCCGCCTTCCTCCCCGGGCTGCACCACTACATCAACGCCAAGAACCAGCAGCGCCCGAACATGGTCTCCGGCCTCTCCTCCATGTACCCCGGCAGCGGATCCAACGTCCCGACGCTCTCCACCAGCGCGAGCGCCTACGGCCCCGAGCTCAACGGCGTCGCGATGTCGCCCCCGCGCACGTCCGTCTACGGCAACCGCCCGCCGTTCGAGCAGCTCCCCTCCGACGGCTACCTCCCGCACCCCGCCGGCCTGCGCCCCGGCTCGCGCCCGATCCCCGCCGGGGACGCCTATGGCAACCCCGCGCTCGACGAGCACCGCAACGCGTTCTCGCCCTCCGCGCGCGCGCTGCAGGCGCACGCCCCCGGACAGAGTCTCCCGCAGGGCCTCGCGGCCGGGTACTCGCGCATCCACGCGCTGCCGCCCCCCGTGATCCCGTCCCCGAGCACGAGCAGCGTGCTCAGCCGCACGCCGCTTGGCGGCGGCTTCTCCCCCGGGGCGAAGGGGTTCGGGCACGGGCACTCGACGTCGGGCGACTGGGCGAGCATGTCCCCCACCGCGAGCAGCCTGCTCGACCAGATCAACGGGCACGGCGCGCAGCAACAGCACGCGCAATCGCAGGCACAGGCGAACCTGGGGCAGGGCGCGCCCCCGGGCACGTCGCTCGGCGGGCTGGAGACGATGTTCTCGCGCGCGTCGTACTCGGCCGCGGCTTCGCGTGCGTCCTTTTTCTGTCTTGTCTGTGTGGTGTCCGGGCTGATGTGTATGTGTGCGCGCAGGTGGACCGATGAACGCCGCGCCCCCGGGGCTGGGCGCGCGCGTCCCGAGCGGGGGCCGCGCGCACCCGCAGGGCTCGCTGAGCCCGCTCAGCGGGCCGGTGCTGACGGGCGAGGACGACGACCTGTTCTCGATGGAGTGAGGGCCGCGAGGCGCAGACGACGACGGTGGCGTGAGAGGCAACGAGACGCGACGAGACGGAGACGTATATCTGTACACGAGTATCGCTGGCTGGCTGACCCTGAACTGTGCTAAGTATTGTAGAACCCTTTCATGTGTTTTTTCTTCCTCTTTCCGTTCATTCGTTGTGTCGCTGTTGTGTGTGTGTAAAATGGCTACTTGCGGCTTCGTGTGCTGTGTTGCGGCGTCGGCTGCTTGGTGGCGCGGGTTGTGGGCGTGTGTGGGCGCCAGCGGCGCGTTGACACTCGAAGACTAGTCGGGCCAGTATTGCAAGATCGATCGTTGCTATCTCGTTGCATAGCTCTGTATATTAAAGTAGTTTGCATGTTATTTGACGCGTTCAACATTAGACCCAGTCCGATACGAAATTGGCGAGTGACGATTGCGCGAGACTGGGACAGGTGTTTGCATCTGTCACAATGGGTTAGGGTTTTTTGTTCTTGTTCGTCAACGGTCCACAGCATCCGCGTTCTCAGTCGTTCCTTGATCTCGAAACATCTACCATCGAGATCCAAAAATATGGATGATGCGCACGACGATACTCGCCTGCAATCGCTCTTACATCGCTCTCCAGGCCGAATCATCGCGCGGCGCTCAGCTTAAGACGCCGTACATACCAACACCACACACTGGCGTCAGAGGCTGTCCAACATACCGGAGGGGGCCAGTGTCGTTTACCACAAAGAAGAAAAACACGCATTGCACAGCACGCTTGCAGGCACTCATACTGACGTCCGAACATGAAGCTGAAGCTGAAGCTCAGGATCCATATCCATATCCACCGCCGGCGTGTATACACTATACATAGCCAGCCCTATATGTAGGTGCGCCCGGATTACGATGCATGATGTACAACGGAGACACACACGCGCTCTCGCGCTAATCGAAACACACGAACCGAGAAACAGATGCAGAAGGGAGAGCACAACGAACACGAAACGCAGAGAGCAAACGACAACACTGCTAGCCATCCACCTACTCGCCGCCGCTCGCGCCCCCGCCATGATCCCGCACAGAGCTGTCCCACGTCCGTTTCATCGGCACGTTCCCAGTGGTAAAGCTCGTCGCGCGCGAGCTCGTCATCCCCGTCCCGCCACCGCCCATACCCTGCCCTCCGCCACCGCCGCCGCCGCCCTCCGGCCGCGACTCGTACGCGTACTCGCTCCAGCCCTGCAGCGCCGAGTCGAGCGAATGCCTTACGCGCGGCGCATACGCCTGTTGCACGTACGCGGACGGGGCCGTGTGCGTCATCGACGGCGACGGCGTCTGCGGGTGCATCATCTGCGTCTGCGGCGTCGGGGGCAGCGCAGAGGAGCCGGGATGCGGATGCGACTGAGGATGCGACTGAGGATGGGGCCGCGTGGGCGGACGTATGATAGGCACGCCCTGGCTGCCCGACACGAAGCGCACGTTCAGCGGCTGCGAGACCTGCGCGGGCGGCTGCGGCTGCATGCCCGACGCGGGGTGCGGGTACATGCGCGCGGCCGCCGCGTTCCGCGCCGTCGCGCTGATCCCGAGGCCCACGACGGCGGACGACGACGCGCCGGCCGCGTGGATCGCGCCGAGCGACTGCCTCCGCCGCATTTTCTTCGTGATGGCGGCCTCGAGCGCGACGACCTCCTCGACGAGGCGCTGGTTCCTAAACTTGAGCTGCTGGAGTTCGTACTGCCAGCTGCTCCCGCGGTCGAGCTCCGTCTCTGCGAACACGCTGTCCTCGTGTGCGTGGACGACCGCGCCCGTCGGCGGCGGCGCGCTCCCCTCGCACAGCTTCACCTGGCACACGACAGGAGCATACGCCATGGTATCACCGCCGCTGGTCCCTGCTGCGGGCTCCTCGGCGGCGGTAGGCTGCTGCTGCCGCGAGCGGTAGAGCACGACGTGTGCGGAGACGGTCCCGCGCTCCTTGGTATGGACCTCGCATGCGAGCCCGGCGCTCTCGTTCCCGCCCGTGTCCGCGAGCACCTTTGCCATCTCGACATCGACCGCCATGCGGATATCCTGCGCGGACTTGCCGCTCACAATGTCCGCGATCGGCTTTCCGATGACTTCGCCTGCACCCCAGCCGAGGACGTCCCGAACGGCGGCGCCCACGCAGAGGAAGGTGCCGGCGGTACTCACCATGCCCCAGAACTCACGCTCTGGCGGTCGATCGCCCATGCCCGACTGTCCGTCCAAGGTGGTCGCGATCGGCGCAGGGAGAGACTTGTACAGAGGTGCAACGAGTCCACCGGCACGGGAGACGGGTCCCCATTCGAGGTAGGGCAGATTCCTGAGGCGGCCACTGAGAATAATCGCCTTGCGGCCTTTGCCAGGCTCGATGTGAAGCCTACCGCGGCACTCTATCCACACGTAACCGCGCGTCTTGGTCTGCATACGGAAGAGCAGATTGACGGAGCGCGGAGAATTGCCAGTAGGCGCGTGGGGAGGACTGTCGGCACTCGTGTTCATCCCCGCCGAAGCGGATGGCGAAGGAGAGGCGCCGGTGGGGACGCCGCCGGAACCCGGAGTGGCCGAGGCCTCTTTAAGTTCACGCATGAGGGGCACGCAGTCGGCGGGATGGCAGAAGTCTGTCAGAGACCGGCCCACGAGCTCGTCCGGGTCGTAACCGAGCACAGTGCGAACGGCTGGGGCAGCGTAAAGGAAGGCGCCCTTGAGAGAGACTACGTGGAGAAAGTCTGGGGAGCGGTCGAGAAGGATCATGTGGACGGGTTTGTTACCGTCATAGGGATCGAGGGCGATGGGCTCCGCGGGGTTGGTGGTAAGGGCAACAGCGGTGGAAGCATGCGTGGATGTGGAAAGCTGGAAAGAATTGAGGAAGGCGTGGTTCGCGAGGAGAGCACGGAGGTCCTTTGACACGCCCCGCATGGACATGGAAGAAGCGCGCCAGTCCCGAGCCGAGGTGGGAGATGCAGAGGTAGCCTTGTCGGAGTAGTTCACAAGATAGGTGCCGTCTTTGAGTTTGCCGAGGATAGCCTTTGGCTGCTCGGAAAGATCAACCTGAAATCCAACGTGGAAAATGATATCGTCTGCCTCGTCTGGGTGGTTAAGAACGCCGCCACGGATGGGAATGACTGACACCATGTTGATGAAGGCGGAGCCATCTTTACGATAGTTGATGATGGAGACTTGACACTCCTTGTCCGCAATGATATTTTTGCGGAGATGGGCGACGGCGTCTTGGGAAGTGTGGTGACGCTCTTGACCACGCTGAAGATGGCCGCCGGGAGACTGGAGGAAACGGCAATTGCGACCGACGACTTCGTGTTCATCGTACCCAGTGAGCTTGAAGAACGTAGGGGAGGCATATACTGAACCGAAGTGAGTGGAGAGAGGGGGAGCAGAGAGGATATACGCACCGATTGGAGAGTCGAAGCGGCGTGTGTCTGTGACTACGAAGGAGCAGGAAAGGTCTACGGGGCCTAGGGAGATCTTGGGGTACGGACGGTGGACAACGCGGGCGAGGATGGAGAGGATATCGAAGCCTGAGGCAGAGTAGACGGGCAGACCGAGAGCGGAAGGGATGGAGATGGGAAGGTCGGGGCGGAAAGGGTGGTGGGCACTTACGTCGTGAACGTATGGAAGGTTGTACGATGGCGATGTAGCCGAGTGAGGGGACGCAGCGGAGAGTGGTGGCGGATGGTGGTAATTGGCGGCAGCGGCAGCGGCCTGGAGGGAGCTTGAGGGAGAGTTAGGCTTAGCGGAGCGGGGAGGATAAGGACGCACAACGGGTTGGGGTAGCCTTCCTGGGCTGAGAACCAGGCGAGAGACGAGGACGACGCGGGCGGGTAGAATCCAGCGGGGAGGGCCTCCGCGCCTCCACCGGGAGGGACGGTTGGCGCGTTGAGGATGAGATTGGGGAGCTGGAACTGAACGTGCGAGGAAAAGGTGACATTGTGATCTACCGCGTCCTGGTCGTCGTGGCTGTCCTGGCCGTTGCCGAGGTAGCGGGAGAACGGCATGGTGGCAGCGAGGGCGGGGCGGGGGCGGGGGCACCGACGCCGAGGCGGGTGTATGCGGCGAGTGGAGGGCGGGGCAGGGAGGAGGAGGAGGGAGAGGAGAAGAGGGAGCACACCTTGAGCACACCGCTCTTTCTGTCATTCCACATTCCCTAAACGGGCAGGAACTACCTCGAGATCTCGGCGCCCAATCAGCGCCCGTCCTCAATCCGCGCCGTTCGCACTTGTCACACCCCGTCACCCTTCCTCCTGTCACGGGCCCCGATCTCCCCCAGCGATCGCACCCTGCACGTGGGCCGACGTCATATCTAGCCGGTCGGTGTATGCGCGCTGCAGACCGCGCGAGGCGTCCCGCGCGGGTCCTGGTGCAGCGGCGAGAGGGACGCTGCGCCGAGCGGGGCGCATGGCGCACGCCTAGAGTCCGCACTGGCTTGGACGGGGCGGGGACTGGGGGAAAGTCTGGGCGAGCCGCGGCGGGTATCGTTTTCCCGATTTGGCGCGCGGCATCGATATCTACCATTCGCCTCTCCGCCTCCGTCCACCGTTCTCATCCGCTCTCTCCCTCAAACCACCACCTCCCTACTCTACTTCCATATACAATGGGTGTTCTCGATATCGTCCCTGTGCGTGCTGCGACGCAATGATTCCAGCATACACTCATCTTCGTCTAGGCCGGCGTCCTCACCGGAGACAACGTCCGCAAGTTGTTCCAGTACGCAAAGGAGAACCAGGCATGTACACACGCGCTCGGACCCAGTACCAAACTAACCCCCCATCTAGTTTGCGATCCCTGTAAGTGGTACACCCATTCACCCACCATAACCTTACGAACCCGGATCGCGCCCATCTGCAGGCCATCGTACGTCCGCCTTCCATTCCCACCAACTCCTGTACTCATCCCCGTTTTCCCAGAACGTCACCTCCTCTTCCGTAGCAAACTCCGTCCTCGAGGCCGCCCGGTACGTCCCTGATCTTCATTTCCCCCCTCGATCGACCCTGTCCTGACCACCCCAAAGTGACATCAAGTCCCCCATCATCATCCAGGTCTCCCAGGGCGGTTCCGACTTCTTTGCCGGCAAGGGCCTCGCAAACGACAAGCAGCAAGCCTCTATCACTGGTGCCGTTGCCGCTGCGCACCATGTTCGCGCCGTCGCAAAGGCCTACGGAGTGTACGTCCCGCGCGTCTCCCACCAATCACATGCCTCCGCTGACTTCTTGCCCGCACTAACAGCCCCGTCGTCCTCCACTCGGACCACTGCGCCAAGAAGCTCCTTCCGTGGTTCGACGGCATGCTCGCCGCCGACGAGGAGTACTTTGCCCAGCACCAGGAGCCCCTCTTCTCCTCGCACATGCTCGACCTCTCCGAGGAGTCCAAGGAGGAGAACATCGAGACCTGCGTCAAGTACTTCAAGCGCATGGCGCCCCTCGGCCTCTGGCTCGAGATGGAGATCGGCATCACCGGTGGTGAGGAGGACGGCGTAGACAACACCGACGTCGACAACTCGCGCCTCTACACCCAGCCCGAGGACATCTTCGACGTCTACTCCGCCCTCTCCGCCATCTCCCCCAACTTCTCCATCGCCGCCGCGTTCGGCAACGTCCACGGTGTCTACAAGCCCGGAAACGTGAAGCTCCACCCCGAGCTCCTCAACAAGCACCAGGTCTACGCCGAGCAGAAGCTCGGTGGCAAGACCACCAAGCCCCTCTTCCTCGTCTTCCACGGCGGCTCCGGCTCCACCAAGGACGAGATCAAGACCGCCGTCCAGAACGGCGTCGTCAAGATGAACGTCGACACCGACACCCAGTGGGCGTACCTCACCGGCATCCGCGTATGTCTTCGCGCCCTCATTTCATCGATGTCACGCTCACACTCTGCTTCTCCCACAGGACTTTGTCCAAAACAAGTCCGGCTACCTCCAGTCGCAGGTCGGCAACCCCGAAGGCGCCGACAAGCCGAACAAGAAGGTATGTGCCCCACGCGCACCCGTGCCACATTGCTTTCTTCTCGCTAACACTGCGCCCCAATCACCAGTACTACGACCCGCGTGTCTGGGTGCGCGAGGGCGAGAAGACGCTCGTCGCGCGCGTCAAGGAGGCCTGCACCGACCTCGGCAACATCAGTACGCGCCCCTCTTCCCCTCTGTCCATATGTATCCCGCTAACCCGTACCGCGCGCGCAGACCGCCTGTAATTTCCCCCTAGATGAGACGAGCAGTAATATGGCGTCGGCGCTGGCACGAACCAGGTGTAGCAAAAGGACGAAGCAGAAGCAGAGCAGCAGAAAGTTAGCGTTGTATCCCTATCCCCGAATACATCTCTAGTGTTTCCATACCCCCCGCCGCGCCCGCGCCCGCGCACTCCATTCTCCCTGCCCCAATGCCTGCTTCTGCACCCGCTTCCGCTTGCCGTGCCGCCGGCGCGCTTCCACGCGTAAAAACTGCCATTGACATTGACAGGTGCACGCCCCCGCTTCCGCGCGCAGCCCCAGCCCCAAGCCCAGGGGCGAGATTGACAGCGATGTGTGGGCGCGCGCGCGCGAAGATCTTTACACCAGCGGCAGCTCCGCGACCGAGCCCCCCCTCAGGCCCCTGGTGCAATCTTCGCGCCCAGCCAGCCCCCGCCCGCACTCCCGCCGCACCTCGCTCCCCGCTGCCGCCGCGGCCTCCCACCCTCACAATTTAGCTGCGCCGCCACTGTTTTTACGGAGCTTCGACAGGCTTCGACTCGCCTCCGAGTCCCTGCCGGCGGCCGCCAGGCTTGCCGCGAGAGCCTGAGGAGCAGACAGATGGGAGTGGGCGCGATCGCCGCCTGCGGGGGAGGGGCGTGGGTCGGGCCCGGGGTGCTGGGATCGCCCGCGCTTGAGCTTGAGCCTGTGTGAGTGACGGCTCGGATGGGGCACGCGGGGCAGGGCGCATAGATCTGCTGTGACTTATGCCGTACACAGAGCTGGTCAGGGACAGGGAGAAAACCGAGAGCGCGGCGGGGGGTGGGTGCGGGTCTGAGTCGACCCACTCGGTGTGCGGAGGTTCCCAGGCGTGTCCGCGTCGAGGGTGCTATGGATGTTGGCGCTGGTGAGGTTCACAGAGACCTGCGGGCCTGCATTAGTGCATGGGTGTTCGTACGTACGTCTGAACACGCCGTTCCACGTTTCACGGAGCTGAATTACAGGCCTAGATTCTTGTTCCGCGTGGACGCAGCCAGGGATGCGGATGGACCACACTGGCCCATCTGCGTCGGCGCGCTGTCGGTAGCGCGATATTTAACACCGCCACCGTCTCTCCCTCACACGGTGGGTTGGTAGCGTACTGGCGGAGGTATCCGGGCGTATCCTCAAGGTGCAATGTTTCCGCAGTGCGTGACCTTTGATGGGCACTACAAATCGTCTAAACACAAGTACACCATTGTCAGCGTTGCGTCGTTCCCGCTAGCACAATATGAACGTCACTAGCCTGACCTCACCCGATTGCCACCGATGGCATCCTTCAAGTACTTCAAAGAGACATTTATCGAGGCGCGGTCGCTCTCCCTGCTGCGCTTCCTGGCGACGTGTACTGGGGTAGAGCAGCTGCTCATCTCGGACGGGTGCGCCTTCCGCCTGGAGAACTACGAGCCGGAGGACCTCCCCGTCGTCGACCTGCCGCACCTGCAATGGCTCTCCGTCCGCAGGGATGCTCCCTTAGCAGCCGCCCGAGCGCTAGTGGCGTTTCGCTTCCCCCCTGCAGCCACGTTCGAGCTGGAGAGCTACCTGTACAAGCCGTCCGAAGTCCGGCGCTTGCTCCGGACGCAGGGTTGGTTGGAGTGTATTCTTGTCCCGAACTTGGACGATCTTGAGGTGTTCTCCGGAACCCGTTCCCTGACGTTGCGCGTCGACGACATGCCCGACTACGATGTCGACCACCAGGTTCCCCACGTCGTGTTTCGGCTTTACGGACACCCGGGCGTATGGGGATCCGAGCCGCACTGGTTCCTCAAAGGAACCTACCGGGAAGGCGTGGAGATGATGGCCCAGCACCGATACTTCAGGCGGTTTCTCGGTGGCCTGCCTCTGGTCTTTCAGCCGGAGCTCCTTACGCGGCTGGAGCTGCACTTCGCGGATTGGCTGCCCGTGCGCCGGATGTCGCTGTGGCGAGAGGTGTTCGGCGCATTTCTCGTGTTGCGAGAGCTCGTAATAGGGGGATGGGAGTGCATCGAAGCGGCGACGCGCATGCTGGAGAACGACCTTGCTCTGCTGCCGGAGCTAGAAATGCTGTGCCTCTGCGTCCAAGAGCTGCCGCAACATCGGGAAGAACAGACGGGCCAGACCATGATACGATGGCTCACGGCACGCTACGAAGGGCAGACGGGCTTGAAGAGGGTGGAGGTCGTGTGTGGGTTGTACGTGTCCGACGACGCCGTCCAGTACGCGCACCGCCTCATGTTGCAGGTCAGAACGCAGGTCCCGTCGCTCGCGACAGAGGTACATGAGAAGTGGGCGTGCTATTCGTGCGGTAGTGGAAAAACGGGGCAGGAGAAGGATGCGGACTGGGAATGGGAGGCGTCGTCAGATGAGGAGAGCCAGCCTGATGAAGAGGACGAGCCGGAAGATGCCAGTGGAGATATGATACCTTCCGGAAGAGGAGGGAGAGAGCAAAGAGGCGCCAGTGCACGCGACGCGACGAGACGCGCCACACGTGACTCCACCCGCTGTCTGGCCGCGCGCCTATCCACGCTCGTACACTGTTCCAGTCTCGACCACCAGCTGCGATGGAAGGCGGGATGAACAAAACGGAGGCCGCAACAGGACCGGCTTAATTTTGGTCCACGAGCTTACTGAAGAAGACGTCGTGTCAAGCCCTTATAACTCGCGCAATTTCTTACATGTATGTTCACCAAGAGTCGTTCGATCGATGATCTGACAACTACTAACAACTCTTCTCTCCCCCCTCAGGCCTCAGTGAGTGATATGAATCCACCCGAAGGTCTTCTCCACCAGTTCGCTTTTTGCGGCGGCACTCCGCGATTTCAACCCGGTCGCCGGCTCCTATCCGCCTCGAGTCTTGACCGCGTACTACACGAGCCCGACCCAAACCTGCTGAACCGCATCGGCGCAGCCGCACTCGACACACTCGCCTCACTCGCCGTCTGTGCGCCAAACGAACCGGTCGCACTCGCGGCCTTCCTGGGACGCTATAGCGCATCGAGCTGTGTATCGCAGAAGACGCGGAACAAGTACCTTTTACCGTCGTCGACCACGTCAACGACATCTGCACCCGCCTCCCCAGCATCCGCGCCGCTGTCGACGCCTCTCTTAATAAAGCTTCTATACTCTCTAGAACTCGCATATGACAAATGGCTCTCCGGAACTCGCCCTCGCTACCCTCCGCCTTGTCGAGCTGAACCTCATCCGTGCACGCATCGCCGACGCGCCATTCGACTAGCTTGCCTCGTTCAGCCACCTCGTCGCCTGCCTACAGGGCGCCCCCGCTGACACCCGTGACGATCCATCTGACGGCGAGCGAACTGCCTTAGGGCATCTCGAACAGCCCGAGTACAGCGGTGCCTCCAGAAACTCGAGCAGGAGATCAGGTACCTGCAGGAGTTGGTGCGCGCGGGACCGCTTCGACGCTGTGTGTCTCCGCCAGATGACGGTAACCTGACCGTAGACTCCCACCTGCTCCATGCCACAAATTGATCGCTTCATCTCCGGTATGTGTAACACTCTTTTTTTGCTCTGCACTGCTCATATGGCAGCATACATGCCACATATGCGTTTGGCAAGTCCTGACCGGCTGGCAACGCATACCCACCGCTCATGCGCCCTTCTTTCCCATCTCTGCACGCACGGCTAGCCCACGCTCCCGTACATCGGGCTCTCAGGGGCACCCTGCACATCATGCGCGATCTACGTCGCTGCTTGCCGCGCTCATCGGGGATTCGAGGTGACGATGCACCAGCCGGAACGACAGCGCGCCAGGTGGATGTGTCTCGACTTCCCCGAGGATGCGGCGACCTTCCGGGCGTGCTTCCGTGGGCTTCGAGGCGTGCGTCCATGGGCTGCGCACATATATCCTGCAGAGGCTGCTCGAGGAGGAAGGGGCCTGGGTGACACGATCAAGGCGCACTTGAGGATAGAGTAGGTCTGCGTCTGGTGGCCAATGATCTCAGGTGTGTGTGCACAGACGCATCTGAAGTGTGGCAGAGCTCAATCCTGGTTTTTTCTATTTTGTAAAGGTAAGATCCACATTTAAATGCACAGCCTCACTTAAGTGCCCCCTTCGTCCCATCCCTCATCACTCTTCCTTCCATCTCACTTGCGAGCCTCTGTTTGGTAATACCTCCCGCCGCTAGGAACTCCCATGGTTGCGCCTAGCGCAGTGTGAGTCCACAGTACTGTCTGGCAAGTCACTCACGCTCTGCGCGGAAATTGGTCTTCGGCGCGGCCTTCGTCGCCCAGTCCGTGGTACGTGCCCCTCCATCCCATATCCTACGTACGCTGACGTACTGACTATGTTCTTTCCCGGTCAAATTTTTCAAAGCCGCACAGCGGGTCAAAGTGCTCACGGCACCCGTGTAGGCACGATAGCCGCGGTAATGAAGGTACGCGACGTGAGATAGCTGACTTATGGCAGCGCCCGTCCTTCTTCGACCGCCGTCACGGCGATAGGCAAATTGCCCTCGATTCTTCGCGGCAAACCTTGTATTCGATCTTCTCACAGGCATAGCGTCCCTCGACAGAGGCTAAACCCACTCCCAATCCCCTCTGCGTCAAGTTGGCCGCCCATAAAGCTCGCGCTTCAACGACAGCGCCATATCTCGGTGAACATCAGACTTGCCCCCGCTTGACGTACGCCCTTGGAAGCCCATTCTGCACGCGCGCCGCGCCCTCCGTCTGCACCCATGGCCCCTCCACGTGTTTTCATTATGCGCGCGCAGGGGCCGCACCTTCCCCTTCCCGCCCGGCCTCCTTTTCCACGCTGCAGCATGGCTTTCATGAAACGCTTCCTCTGTCCTCTCGCGCTACGCATCCGTGCGCGGCCGGCCCAGATGCGCGGGCGACGATCCATTTACGCCCGGGGGCCCTCGCCAGAAATACCGACGCGCCTCAGGGTGCGCACGCCTGCTGCGCCCCCCGCTCTCCCCGTCCGCCCACCCTCGCTCCTGCTCTGGCCCGCGACCCCCAGGCGTAAACAATTCACCCTCTATGTACTACGCGCCCCAACGACCGCTCTCGACCTACTGGCCCGCGCGTGCGTCCCCGCCGATGTACCCGGCGGCGAGCTACTCCGGGAGCTACTACGACTGTGCGTCCCCTCCCTCCCTCCCTCCCCTTCCTCTTCTCTTCGCGATCTGCGCATGCTGACCCGCTCGTGCGTTTGGGGTGGGCAGCCCCCGAGATGCGCATGGCGCCGATATACCCCCAGTACGCGCAGCCGATGGCGCAGCCGCCGATGATCTACCGCAACCAGCCGATCTACTACCACCGCCTCATGCGGCGGCCGGGGCAGCCGGGGTGCTGCACGAACTGCTGTCGGGATCTGTGCTGTGAACCGTGTTGCGACGAGTGCTGTGGGTGCGTGCGCGTGCGCGTTTGGGGCTGCCGAGTGCGTTGGCGATATTAATATTGACGATTCACGGTGCGCTCTTGAAGACCACAGGGGTGCTGTTGCTGCTGAACACGACGGAGGGGGCGGGGGTTCTTGGAGGGGGAGAAGGAAGAAGTGTACAATTATTGCTACGACGCATCCACGAGGTTATGACGCCCAAATACCCGCCTATGTTTGCTTTCTCTCTTCTTGCTGTGATCGTAGACGTCTGCTCTGCTATCTTATCTGTTTCTATGTCAGATCTACTCATTGCCAACATGCTCAACAACAATATTGGCTGGGAACACAACGTGGTAATGGATTGACGACATACTGCTGTAAATATTGCAACATAACCTATGACGATGACAGACACAAACATGCTATGTACCAGAGAACACATGCACAAAACGCACAACACACAACAGGATCCCAACTCCGAGTCCTACACGACAACACACCCATCACACCGCACACCCCGACAACAGCGCCTGCACATTCTCCGCAACCCTCAACGGGTCGATCGCGAGCAGCGCCTCCTCCCCACCCGCCTCCTCGCCCGTCCCCACAGACGGACCCTCGCCGTCCCCAGCGGAGCCCAGGCCGAACGGATCCGTAGGCACGGACGTCGGCACCATGCCCTCGCTCACCACCGGCTTCATGAACGCCCAGAACTCGCTGAAGTCCATCTCGCCCGCCGCCGCCCCACTCGCCGCCGCCGCCCCCGCGTCCGGCGGTTGCATCCCGTACAGCTCCGGATTCGCGTACAGCGCGGCCTCGAGCTCGGGGTCCATGTCCATCGCGAGCCCGTCGAGGTACGCATCCGACCCAGACCCGTCGCTGGGCGCCGCCGCGCCAGACGGCGCGAACGCCGTCATCGAGAACAGGTCCGAGAACGCCGTGTCGAGCGTGCCCGGCGCGTCGTCCGCGTCCGAGAACATGTCCGTCCCCTGCGACAGCATCGCCAGGATCGCGTCCGAGTCCTCGCTTCCCGCGCCATCCCGCTCGCCCCCGTCCTCCGACGCCGGCGCGAGCTCGAGCTGCGGCAGGCAGATCGTCGCGTCCGGGTCCGGCAGCGCGTCCGCGACCTCCCTTGCGCTCGCGCGCCCCGCGCACGCCTCCCAGTCGCTCCCCTCCGCCTCGCCGTCCGCAGGCGACAAAATCGGGCTCGAGGGCGGCAGCGGCGACGACGGCGGGAGGCCCGGGCCCCACTGCGGCAGCCGCCGCGGCGCGCCATACCCGAACACGTCCCCGCCCTCGGACGGGCCGTCGCGCAGCCCGAGCTCCCCCAGCTCCCCGTCTCCGTCGCTGCTGGCGATCGGGATCGAGTCGAGCGGGACGTCGTCCGACTCCGCCGGCTCGGAGGACGTGGTGAGCGCGGAGAACGGGGGCGGGGCGTCCGGGAGCGAGCTGACGCTGCGCTCGCTGCCGCGCCCGCGCTCGCCGCCGCTGGAGTGTGTGCGCGTGCGCGTGCGCGCGCGCTTGCGCGCGGAGGACGAGCCGCCGCGGGAGAGTGGGGAGAGGAGGGCGGAGAGGCCGCTGTAGAGGCTGGGGAGCTTGCGCGGGCTGCGGGGCTGCTCGGGCGTGAAGAGCGAGCTGAGCGCGTCGTCCTCCGGGCTCAACGTCGCGCTCGTCGTCCTGGCCGCGCGCCGGCGCGGGGGCGTTGTGGGCGGGTCCATGTTCTGCGATGACGAGGACGAGAGGACGTTATGCGAGGATGACGGCGCGAGGGGGACGGCGAAAATGGGGGCCTGAGAGGCTGTCGCGAAGATGGGTCGGGGGAGGTCTGCTTGTGGGGCTGCGCTGGTGCTTGCGTGGTTGCCCCGTCGAGAGCCGGAAACCGAGGCATGCACGGGAGGCGGTACCAGCACGGCAGGGCCGTGGAATTCGCGTCCCGACAGATCCTCTTTGGGGTGCGCACTCCCTGCGGACCGTTTGCGCGGCTTCGCGTCGGTAGACCGCTTCGTAGACCGTTTGCGCTTTGGAGCCTCCGACGGGGCCGCGTCCGACGCGCCCTCCGTGAGATACGTGCCGTCCGCGTTTCGGGGGAGTGTAGCGGTGGTGGTCCGCGCCCAGGACGGGACAACGTACGGCTTGCGCAGCGCAGACTGCGAGCGCCGTGGCGGAGAGGTCGCCGGACCAGGCGCGGAACCCGAGCGATGCGACGCGTCGTTCTCCCAGCCGGGATCGGACGCGGCGTCCGTATTTGAGAGAAAGCTTCTGCTGGGCTTGGAGGTCAGCGTCCGACTGGAGGAGCTCGCGGTGCGTTTGCGCGACTGTTCCCGCTCGCGGTCGCGCTCGTCCATGATCTCGCTGAGGGTGCGTTTCCGGCTGTTCGATGCCGCAAGGGCCCCGATAACGGAGGGTCGCGGGCGCGGTGTCTGCTCGGACGTGCTGCTGCGCGGGGCTGGAGGCGGCCGCGCGACTTCTTTCCCCTTCTCCTTCTCGAGACCTGTGCGGCGGAACGCGGCGGGGTTCACGTTCTCCTTGTCGAGCACCACCACCTCGTCGTCGTCCTGGCCCGTGTCTGTGGTCGGTGGCGTCGACGGGTGAGCGGGCGGAGAGAGCGTGGTCGACGCGGGCGAGGGGACGGAACTGGTGGATGAGCCTGGCACGGAGAGGAAGGTGAAGCTCGAGGTCGGAGCGGGGTTCGGTCTCGTAGGGGGAGAGGGCGCTGGGGCTGCAGGTACGGGCGGAGCTGGCGCAGAGGCGGCGGTGAACATCCGTCCTAGAGTCTGGACGAGGTCGGGATTGGGCGTGGCGCTGGACGAGTCGATGGATGAGAGGAGGGAGAGGAGCTGTTGGTTCTGCTGTGAGCTTGCGAGAGCCATGAAGAACGCTTGCAGCGCGGCCTGCGGTGTGCTGACTTGGGGCGCAGACGCAGCTGGAGCAGCGGGAGGAGGGGCGGGTGGAGGTGTATCGGCCGCGGAGGAGTCACTTCGCTTGAGAGGGCGGACGGATGGGGATATCCTGGGGCTGTCGGAGGCGTTCCGAGTCGCGTCCGGAGCAGATGAGCCAGCCCGCTCCTTCTCCTCTTTCGGCCACCGGAGCGGGTCGGTGGTGAAGAGAGCGCCCGTATTTCGTTTTGCGGATTTCTTCTCTGTTGCAGCCAGCGGAGCGGCCCAAGTGTTGGCGCGGGGGAGAGGAATACGATTGCCCTGTGCCGGGGGTCAGCAGGAAGAACAGTGGTAAAAAGTGGGACCAAACCTCTCTGAGAGAAAAGATGACTTCGAGGCCGTCGTCGCGGATGCCATCAGACATGAGCGTGCCGAAGACAGAGGGAGGGTCTGCGCTGCGGAGAGCATCTGAGAGCCAGCCGAGGCCGACAGCAACAGCGGGGGCAGGACTCGCGCTGTTTCCTTGCTCTTGGTAGGGTTAGCCACAGGGCGCGTCGGGCGCGTAGTATGACTACTCACGAGACTCGAACGGATCAAAGACATAGACAGACCAGTCGCGGTTGCCTGTGGGTGCAAGCTCCGGGCTAGCGAGAGGAACAGGTTGGAGGGAGTAGGACGGAAGACGGACGATTTGACTGACCTTGATTGACAGATGGCGTCGAGGCAGGAGCGAAGGGATACTTTGCCGTAGACGATGTCGGGGGGAGAGTGAGGAGAAATGGCGTGTTGTGGAATGATGGACACCTCGACCTTTGAGGACGAACGGGCGAGCATATATGGAGGGTGGCCGTTGATGGTGTACAGGGCGCGAACTGCCAGGGTGAGCACAGGGCAGGGACTGGGGAAGATTTGAGAGACGCACTGGACATCATACGCGTCTCCATCTCGGCGAGAGCAGGAACAGCGACGTCGAAGACGCCGAGGGGGATGTCGAGGACGCCGAGGAGGATGGCGAGGAGGACGGGGTCGAGGACGAGGAGGAGAAGGAGCGTGGGTGAGTAGACAGGCGCCGGCAACTCATCTCAACGCGTCGGGTCACGTGGACCGCGTCAACGCGCGTCCCGGCGCCAACGGCTGCAGTCCCGCTCGTTCCCCTCCTCGCTCGCTCATCCCCCCGACGTGTCCTTGCCCATGCCCACCTACCGGTTCGAGCGCGTGCGGAAGTGCTGGCCACCGCAGACAGAAGGCCTCTGCTGTCCCGCCAAGAGCATTGAGCGAACGTCAGGGCAAATGAAGGATCCCTATATATACAGGTGCTGACTACTGGCATCCTGCCGGGACCTCGAGGGCGCGCTGCGGGAGGAGCGCGAGGCGCACGAGGCGGCCCTGGAAGCGAGTGGGGACTTCGAGTCGGAAGTATAGGGGAGAGAGGGTAGACTGGAGAGCACAGGACTTGAACCGCGCGCGAGTGCGCGTACCCGGAGGCGCCCACTCATGTGGACCGTCGCATCGCGTACAGCCGACGCTTCTCTCCTCCCTCCGAGTCCCATATACTTCGTATGTTCTCCCTTTGCCTCCCGCCTCCGATTCTGTCTGCGCATTCCGGGTCCTTGTCAGCCGCCCTGCTTAGCCAATATCAAGCATCTGGTTTCGGCTTTGGACCCCTAGTTTGCTCGCTGAGGGGGATTAAGACGTTGCTTTCTCGCCACAAACATTCCTCCGACCAACCCGATACCTCGAACACTGTGTATTCTATCAAGCTAGTTGCTCTCGTCGTCTGCTTCACCCCCCGCTGAATCTGATTCTACCTCGCCCTCCTCGTCTTCCTCGAGCTCCTCGTCTTCCTCGTACTCCTCGTCTTCCTCGCCCTCCTCGCCCTCCCCAAGCTCCTCAAGTTCCTCGGCCTCCTCAAATTCCTCATACTCTTCGCCATCTTCATCCGTCTCGCTGGCCGAGGTCACCATGTTGTCTTCGCCCGAGGTATCTTCTTCCGGCTCGCTCTCTTCGTCTGACGACTCCGCTTCCCACCCCCAGTCATTACTCTTCCCCTTTCCTGTTTTCCCTCCACCCGTCGCTCGCTGTTGTGTAGCATGTTTCCACCCGCACGATTCGCACCAATCTATGCGGCAGATCTCTGTAGCAAGTGACGGAAGACTTGCTTTGGCCTCCGATACGATGCGAGCCACCAACTGGTTTGCCTCAGGCGACAGGTCCCGCTCCCGCCTCACCTCGAGGCGTTCTAGGCCGGCTCGCTCTTCCTGGCGTGCAACGAGCCAGCGCAGCATTGCCCCTCCCGCCAAGCCCTCTTGATAGCGTGGAGTATCGGTAATGCACAGGCGCAGCACGCACAGCTCCGGCAGCAGAGCAAGGTCGTCCTCCAGCGTACGCGTTGCGGCCTCGATAGCTTCCCATCCTCCAACAGTGAGCTCGTGTAACACGTGAAACTGGCTGAACACCTCCCGCCACAGCGACACCCGCCGAAGAGGTAGCCAGTCCGCGAAGTGCAGCTCCAGCCGCGCAAGGAGCGTTGGTTGGACGATCAGAGGTATGCCGTGGACAAACCGCCCAAAGTACCGGTGGGGGCCATGAGACTGGCGCCGCCCGTGTAGACTCCTTTGATGTACCAAGAACGCTCGATGTCCCATTCTCCTACGTGTCCCTCAAGTTGAATACAGAGGTGGGTTCCGTTGGGTACATCATCGACCTTCACTATGAGGGTATCTGTGCTCGAAAATCCTTCGAGGTTGTCGAGATTGTGGGGGAGAACGTGTCGCAGCCAGTCGTGCGTTCGGAGGAGACGCCGGGAGGCGAACGGGTTGCGAGTCAGCGTCTCCACCTCGAAGGTAGCCGTGGAAGGCAAGCGAAACGCCGTTAGCGCAACCGCGACAGCGCCGGGAGGGTCCTCGCGTATGGTGAGTCTTTTCAGCTGTGGCAGATCGACGATGGGGAGTTCCGACGGGTCGTAAAGTTCTAGACGTGGGGCCAACCCGTTCCGAATGTAAAGGTGTTCCAGACCGGTACATGCCGCGAGGAATCGCTGCAAGGCTAGGGGCCTGACGGTAAAGCCCTCGTTGGTGATGAGGCAAGTGATGTTCGGGAGCGGGGTATCTCCAGAGGGGACCCAATCCTTGAGGTACAACTTGCGCAAGTTCCGCAATCCGTGGATGTTAAGAGGAAGCGAGGGGAATTTATCATAGAGCCCAAATGCGAGGGTCTGCAGAGCCGGTCCCAGCGTACCGAGGAAGTCGTTCGCTTTTTCGAGCTTACTCCCGTCTTTGATAGAAAGCCACAGGAACTCAATGCGGTGTGCCCAAGGTCGGAGGTGCTCGAGCGCGTTCGCGCTGTTCTGGTTCGCGAATTTTTTCTTCCGGCGCCGCTCGGGTTGGACATAGATGCGGAGGGGCATCCCCTCTGGCGCGCGGCCCAAGAACGTGCCAATCGCCTCTGGATGCATCACGTCAAGGGGCGTGCTGAACTCCGTCCACAGCTGACGCGTATGGAGGGCGGCATCGCGCCAGCTGCGGCACACCCAGGTAGTGCGGATCCAGCGCGCTCGGAAGCCGTGCTCGCGATAGTTCCAGTCACCCTCGGGGTCTTCTGGATCGATTTCCCAGACCCTGAACTCCTGGTTGCGACGCAGGTGGAAGATCTGCGATAGCACGTCTGCAGGGAGTTGAACGGCGGGCCAGGCCATGCTCGTATCTGTCGGAAATGTAAGTCATCCGTCGCAATTTTTGAGTGCAGACTTACTTCAGTGTTAGGGGAACCTCTTGAACAGCTTTGTCGTGTGCGCACAGCGCGGAGTGTTTGAAGAGGGCGGGAGTTGTCGACTGCGAGGACGGCTACTGATGAGTAAATTTATAGCATTCTGCGTCGTCTGATCCACACAATGACGAAGGGGCGTATCCATCCCCAATGCTTGCATACAATGTGTAACACCATGGGGACTTGCCGAAGGAGCACCCGTAGCAATGTGCGACGACTGCACAATAAGCAAGTGACTAGAGAGCGGCGGTTCACAATGTTGTCTTAAGCGCCTGCGGCTTCACGTCTCCACTCCAGCTGCTCACACAAAAGCCCTGCCTCATGACAGCTTCCCACACAGATCTCGCACGCAGGCCTACAATGATTCCAGTGATCTCACCATCTGCATGCAGGACTAGAATCTACTCGCCGGCGATATGTACGGAAGGGCCCCGCCAGATGGACTGGAGGATACGATCACTGGCGAGCGGGCAAGTGGGAGAACACCGGTACAGTACTGTCTACATTGTGGTAACGACATAATGTGTATTTCTGTTTCCTTAAAGAGCAGCGGAGGTCATCAAAGGTATAGCTGCACTCTAGCACTGCGACCATGTGAGTCGTGAAATCCGATTCCGACTCGACACGCGATACCGACAATAGAGACGGACTCCACGCTCATTAAGCGACGCTGACGCACAGAGCCAGCCAAAGCGGTACGCAGTTTCCTTATGCCTCAGACCTTCGTGCTGTAACACGCGTACACAATATAGGACTATCATCATGGGAACATCTCGGCTTGCAGAGCTTGTTGTCTGACGAGCCACCGTTCTGACAACCACCTCCCCCGAAGTTCGCATTGACTCCGCTCACTTCACAAGATATACGGCATCGCTATACAAGATCGCAGGCGCGGCCGCGTACCCTGCGTTGCCAGTCGCATGTGCGTTGTTGCGTTCCCCGGTACAAGATAAGTCATTCGCCATGGCAAAATGGTCTATTGTGCGTTCTCTACTGTCGCATACACGTTTTGTCCATCCTCATCTGGTGTCTAGGGGCTTTACGAAGTCATCGACCCCACACAAACTGTCCCGGGCTTTAATCCAGATATTCGGGCCCTCAGCGCAGTGCAGGCCTTCGTAGGTGCATTGACTGGACTCTGCTACCGCGTAGCGGGTTCAAAGTATATATCACAGGTCCGCCATAGGGCTCACACTACCGCGCCCTTCTAAATCGCTCACGTAATTCCATTGCCGACGCCGGTGCCATCTCACTCATCTGTTTCTTGTCTGTTTCTTACAGATCTCGAGGACGGCGCCACTCGAGCCAGCTCCCGCATCCTGACCACGTACACCATACCCGCCGTGCACCCCGCGTACACATAAATCACCGACACAGCGACGGTCACTAACCGCACCACTTATACAGTGGCACGCTAACGGCGACCGCGTGGCGCTCACAAAGTCATCACACGTCGACATCGAAACTTGCCATATGCAACGGGCACGGTATCGACTGCAACCGTAACACAGCCCACGAATGTACACCCGCATTCACGACAAACAGTGTCTGTGACGATGACGCTCCGGACGACCACCAAGCTCGTGGAGATCGACACAGTCACGAACACGTAGTACTCGACCAGCACCAATACTGAGACCGCGACGAAGGCCGCGACGTTGACTTCCACCATTCACCGTCCTGTCATTACTCCTACCGTGACTCTGGGGCAGTGATTCAAGAGACAGGCGGTCGTCTGTTTGCTTCTATTAAAACATATATTCTCGTATCATCCATTATTCTCTACGTCCCTTCAACACCCACCAAGTCCACATTGCACTCCAGTCTTCTACTGATTTCGCTCATGGTGTTGTATTCCCAGGGTGTCCAGATCTGCACAAATGGCGCTCGGTCAGATCAATGACCCGCGGGAACTCATCAGCCTTTTCCGCGTCTCAACAGCTCCTTCTCTACAAATCGAGTCGGCGTCCGTTTCAACATTGCAACTCCGAACCTGCCACCGTGGCTCAGCTCGTGTCGTCAAACATTCGGTCCCTTGAGTCTCATGGGGAGATTATTGTTGAGTCCACTGCCATCGTCTTACTCTCTGACAACCTCGAAAGCCCCCCGCGGCGAACCCTCAAGGAATAGTTTTTTTACCGGTGTGTCGCTCATGGGTCTTAGAAACCATGCTAGCAGACGCTGAATTATTTTGTTCAGTATAACACGGGCTGTGTTTGAACGCGCGGAGTCGCCGGCGGCCCCTTATGTGGCTTCTACACACATCCACCTTCGAACTGCGCCAGTTCCCATCCCAACCACCGCGCTACGCTATTCTGTCTCACTGCTGGGACGAGAGCGAGGTCACATTCACGGACATGCTGGACATACGACACGCGAAAACGCTCCCTGGCTGGCTGAAGATCCTCTTCGCTTGCACCGTCGCTCGAAACCTGATCGAGTGGATCTGGATCGACACCTGCTGCATCGACAAATCGAGCAGCGCGGAGCTCTCTGAGGCGATCAACTCTATGTTTGCCTGGTACCGTGGTGCGGCTCACTGTCTTGCCTACCTCGGCGACGTCGACGCAAGCGAGGATCCTCGTTTAATGGAATCTACTTTCCGCAAGAGCCGCTGGTTCACTCGCGGCTGGACGCTGCAGGAGCTCATTGCACCTCCTGATGGGACTACCTTCAGTTTCTTGTCCAAGGACTGGCGATTGATAGGCAACCGTCAACGGCTCGCTGTGGTGATCTCAGCCATCACGAGAATCGACACTTGGGTTCTGCGGCGCGCGATAGGACCGCAGCGCCAGCCCAGCGACATTCTTGGCGGATACAGCGTTGCGAAGCGCATGTCTTGGGCAGCGCAGAGGAAGACCACAAGGGCAGAGGACAGGGCGTACTCGCTCATGGGCCTCTTCGACGTCAACATGCCGGTACTGTATGGTGAAGGCGGCGACCGGGCCTTCCACCGGCTCCAGCTGGAGATCATCCGCCAGTTCCCCGACCACAGCATCTTCGCATGGAACTGGCCCAGCGTCCGGTCGGACCCGTTACTAAACCTCCTCCCGCGCGCGGCATCGGCGGGTCCGGTGTCTCGCCGACACCGCTGGCCTCCTGTGAGCAAGTGTCCGCTGCTGGCGTCATCTCCAGATAACTTCCTCTTGTCGGCCGACCTTCACTCGATGCCCTCAGCGTCGCTCACGGCCTCGCTCCGCCTACCTGTCATCTCGTTTCCCGAGTTCTACGACACCAACCACGGCATCCGCATCCAGCTCCCTCTCTTCCCCCTCGAGACGTCGCGGCCCGAGTCGCGCCTATTCTGCGCCATCCTCGCCTGCTACACCTCGACCTCCATAGGCGAGAAGGACCTCGTCGGCCTCGTGCTGCGAAGGCAGGGGGGCGCGGCGACGTCGTTCGAATGCGTCGGCGGGTTTCACGGGCACACGAAGGGCCACTGCTTCGTCATCGACATTCCGCGCGAGGTTGCTGACTTTCCGTGGTCATCTAGGTATCCTGGGGCATTTGACGTCGTCGGGCGGTGGAGGCTGCAGCGGATGCGACCTCGGATTGTGGTACATGATATCTATATACAGAAATACTAGCAAGTTGAGGGGCTTTGCCGTAACAATAAGCCCGTGTGTGACACACGAGCCGACAACAGACAGCAAGGAGACATCGTCAGGATAATCAGAAACGCAGCAGAGTGGATAGAGGGACGGTCCAAGGCAAAGTCACTAGTGAGAAATGGGGTTGCTTGTCAAGGCAGCCGTCATCGAGCGAACATATTCGAGGTCGATGATGGGCCCAGGGCCGTGTAGCGGGTGCCATTGGCGGTACTCCTCAACAGCCCACTTCCACTCCTATCATGCCCTGCGGTCAGCAGAGCGTTGGCAGACGTGTCGATGTTAGTGCACAGGTACGCACCAAGTACTTCACGAGCTCTTTATCACGCGGCCTCACCGACTTCCACTCGTCCTTTCCAGAGCAGAAAATGCGGTACGAGTCGAGCGCGTACGGTCCGGATCCAGGTATGTGGGACACAGCAATTGGGGGGTATGGTACCTCGCGCGTCCCAGCTCCGTCGGCGGCGGGCAGCGTCACCGTCCCACGCGAGCGATAGAGCTGGTCCGGTATGGGCGGCTTGGTGAGAAAGGTTTGCGAGATGTCGATGATGCGAGTCGTACGCGTTTCGCCCAATCCGAGATCTTTAATCATCCCGTAGAGGCACGTCCTAGGTGCTGCCAAGCGAATCAGAAATGGGCGCATTGTCGCCGAAGACAAGCAATGGACCTTGGGCGAGTGCTTCGGGTGTAGGCCACCGGTCCATGATCTCGAAGAAGACCGGTATGGACTTCGTGCCCGCTGTCTTGTTGAGCAGGGTCACCGCTACCAAGACCTTCCACGAGCTCGACGCCACGTGCTCTGATATTCGAGTAAGTGATACCTTTGGGTATTGACGACAACACGCAATACTGACCTTGAATGAGAATCGGTTTCGCCATGTAAAGCTCGTGCAATGCGAGCACAAACGCTTCGTAGAAGCAAAGGAAGGCAGGGTTAGCGAGGAGGGCATCCAGGTCCACTTTCGACGGGGGAAAGAAGCGAGACTTGTTGGTCCAGCATGGCTGCGCGAGCAGGTACGTTTGCGCAGTCTGCTGAAGATGAAGACTCGTTGAATCCTGCGCGGCTGGTTTCTGGCGTTTGGGACTGGGGAAATATCGGGACTCGAGATTCTTTCGACGCGGTCTCTTCCGCTTGGGTGTGTGCGGTAGCTCTGCCATTCTCCGAGACTCCGAGACTCCGAGATCAAGCTCAGTCAGCCAGAGAACCGTGACCGTGCACGACGTTGCTGACACGACCGCAGCGGCGGTTCGGTGCAGTCTCGGAGTGAGTGTGAGTCGTCGAGTCCATGGCGGCCCCGCGCCACAATGAAGGTCCCGCGCCGGCAGGGCCGGTCCGGTCCCAGGCTCCTAGCAAAGTCGTCCACTGTTACCAAAAGCAGATGGCTTAGCCCATCGTGATGACAGATTAGGCAGTGTCTCGCGTGGCACAGACGCCGGACGCAGTTACTCAGCGGTGGTGTTTGTCATCGACCGCAGGCCCTCTCAAAAGGCGGAGACTCCGGTGCCCATTCCCCACTTCGCCCCCTTCACCCACCACCGTGAGTATCTCGTCCTGCTGCTCCTACGCATCCCTACCGTCGTCTCCGTGTAGTTTGGACCTTGAAATGCTGCTGGGAGACGATGGATGGGGTTCTGAACCTCTGGATGACGCTCAAATCTGACAAATCGCTCTCAGACTAGTCGCCATGGGTCGCCGTCCCGCTCGCTGCTACCGTTACTGCAAGAACAAGCCCTACCCCAAGTCCCGCTACAACCGCGGTGTCCCCGACTCCAAGGTGAGACCGAGCAACCGGCCAGCCGTCGTTTGACCGGCGAAATTAATGCGCTGGGCAGATCCGCATTTTCGATCTTGGCCGCAAGCGCGCCAACGTCGACGAGTTTCCCTACTGCGTCCACTTGGTCTCCGATGAGTACGAGCAGCTGTCCAGCGAGGCTCTGGAAGCCGCCCGTATTTGCGCCAACAAGTACGTCACCAAGACCTCCGGCAAGGACTCCTTCCACTTGAGGGTCCGTGTCCACCCCTTCCACGTCATCCGTATCAACAAGATGTTGTCTTGCGCTGGTGCCGATCGGTACGTCAAAATGATCACTCCTATTTCCGCGTCTTTTTAAAGCTCGTCCTTAGTCTTCAGACTGGTATGCGTGGCGCGTGGGGAAAGCCCTACGGCACCGTCGCCCGTGTCAACATCGGCCAGATCATCCTCTCCATCCGCTGCAAGGACCAGAACGCCCCTGTCGTCCAGGAGGCTCTCCGCCGCGCTCGTTACAAGTTCCCCGGTCGCCAGAAGATCATCGTCTCCCGCAAGTGGGGCTTCACGAACGTCAACCGTGAGGACTACGTCAAGCTGAAGCAGGAGAAGCGTGTGTTGCAGTACGTTCTTTTTTTGGGCTCGGGCTTTGTCAGCTGTATTGACCTTGGATTCAGGGATGGTGCCTACGTACAGTACATCCGCCCGAGGGGTCCCCTCGAGGCGAACCTCCGCGCTCAGCTCCGCGCATGATTTATGTATCGTGTACTTCTATGGTCTCCCCGTGTCGCCCTAACATGAGCATCTGTTGGGTACGTCGTTCTGATCTCTGCGTGATGCGCTCTCCGTTTCTTTTCCCTCTTTATCGTGTGACCGCCTGCAATGCCCCTTATTCACTACATCAACCTTACTCCGTGGTTGATGGCTAGGGGAAATGGGGCAAAGATTGACTCTCATCTCGTACTGAACTTTGCACTCCCCTCCGAGGACTGAGCTTTGCTTTAGATCGGAAACCACCGGATGAGTACATTACTTGCATGTCGTATCTTTATCCCTGTTACCGTTCTTGTCTCACATGTGAAGTGTGCAGGGTTTATCGCCTCAGCGTTGTGTCTGTCGTCGTCGATATCAATAAAGTCCCAGATTTTTGATATCCTGCTCGTCGCCATCGTCCTGCATGTGGTTCCGTCTCAGACAAACTCGCGGTTGCTCGATGTTCCCGACTATGCTATGTATCGCGACAGGTAGGTCTCAAGCTTTGTTTACTCGGTGGCCCTGTGGTTGTAACTTCGTGTATAGATAAAGCCGTAAATGACGCTTCCTCGCCAGTCATGCATCCATGTGCGGTCGAGCCGGGCATGATACCCGCATGACCACTCGTCGCCCCGCTGCGGGACGTATCGATGCCCCAGGATGACCTTCTCGTCTTCTATCTGTCCATGTGCAATGGACTTCCTGCAGTACGACATGCCGTCGGGGAGGCTACCACTACGTCGTCAGCACTTATCTCGCTGCTCCTCTGTACTTGCTGGGTTGCGACCGCGTTCTGCGTCCCGTTGGCCAACATGGTCCCCAATCTCCCGCTCGTCTTGGTCCTCTGCTTTCTCTTCGTACAGCACGCTTCAGCACTGTGGCCCATTCCGAGCTCCCTGTCGTCCGGAACCGCGGCGGTCAAGCTGTCTCCGAGCTTCGCGATCCACCTTGACGTCGCCCATCCACCTGCAGATCTGCTCTCAGCTATCTCGCGTACTCGCTCCCGCCTACACTCCGACACCTTCGAGAGACTGGTCCTGGGACGTGCCTCAGCTGATGCGCAGGCTATCAAAAAGGCGCACATCGTGACCTCGCTCACAGTCGGCCTCCGTCCTGGCTCCCCTGCCAGGAGCATCGCGGAGGAGACTACGAAGAGCCTCGGGGACAAGGACGAATCGTACGAGCTCAGCGTCCCCGACGAAGGCCCGAGCGCGACGCTCGTCGCGAATAGCACGCTGGGGCTGCTTCGCGGCCTCACGACGTTCGAGCAGCTGTGGTACGACAGCGCGGGCACGAAGTACATGCTGGACGGGCCGCTCCGAGTTGCGGACCAGCCTGCTTTTGTATGTTACCTTTCGTACGAACTCATGGGTGTTGATTGAGATTGGTTGCAGCCGTACCGCGGGTTCTCCTTTGACACCTCACGCAACTTGTGAGCGTTGTGCGCAATGATTTGCTACACTTACTCATGTGCCGGATCAGCTACCCGGTGTCGGACGTTCTCCGTACGCTGGATGCTATGTCATGGGTCAAGGTTGGTGGCACCGCCGTCTATATTGCTTGCCGCTCACCCTCGCTCGACCTCGTATTAAGTTGAGTGTCCTGTACTGGCACATCATCGACAGCCAGAGCTTCCCGTTGGAGGTGGGCGCCTTTCCAGAACTTTCTGCGAAGGGCGCGTACTCGAGCAAGGAGGTGTACTCCCTCGACGACATACAGCAGATCATACAGTATGCCAACGAAGTAAGCGTCCATGTATCATTCAAAGGTCCCGGCAGGCTCATCCATTTGTGACCATAGCGTGGAATCGATGTGATCATGGTACGGACATCTCGGCTAACACAAACCAGCTCTCTAAACCACACCCACAGGAAATGGACTCCCCCGGCCATACCAACGCGATCTCCGCCGCCCACCCCGAGCACATCGCCTGCGCCGCCAAGTCCCCCTGGGCGACCTACGCCTCCGAGCCGCCCGCGGGCCAGCTGCGCATCGCGTCCCCCGCGACGCTCGCCTTCGCGCGCACGCTGTTCGCGTCCGTCGCCGCGACGCTCCCCGGGACGATGATGAGCTCCGGGGGCGACGAGGTGAACCTGCCGTGCTGGGCGGAGGACGCGGAGACGGTGGCGGAGCTGGCGCGGCGCGGTATGACGATTGGGGAGGCGCTGGATGAGTTCGTAAAGGGGGTGCAGGGCGTTATTAGGGAGCATGGGAAGACGCCGTTTATCAAGAGCGGTCAGTTTTGCTTTGATATGATGGAGTGCTGGAGTAACGCGGTTGGTTGCAGACATGGTCCTGACGCACAACGTGCCCATCTTGAACGATACCGTTGTAGTGTTCGTCGTCTTCGACTAGCGATGCGCACCCCGGCTTGGCGGCTGACTGCACTCTCGCCTTTAGGGTCTGGCAAACTTCGGCGGATGCGGCTTCCGTTGCCGCCAGAGGCCTCCGCATGATCCACCAGCCCTCGAACTACTTCTATCTGGTCAGTAGACGGGCGCTCTAGCTCTCTGGGTACATCGCCCACACTCAACTGCGCACAGGATTGCGGCGCAGGCGAATGGATAGGGAACGACGTTCTTGGGTGGGCCGACTGGTTATTTTCTGCGCGTCGTCATTTACCCTATAGCAATGGTCACAGAAATAGCTGGTGCGATCCGTTCAAGACCTGGCAGAGGGTGTGTATTCTTTCGTGCTCGCGTACAACGCCGGACTGAAAACGGCCCGAACAGGCGTACTCCTTCGATCCGTACGCCAACCTGACGGCGGAGCAGCATAGCCTCGTTCTAGGTGGTCAGTATGTTTTGTTCAGACGGACGCCTTGATACTAAAGTGCTTCTTGTACAGGCCAAATGCCACTCTGGAGCGAACAATCCTCGCCGGAGAACCTCGACCCCATCGTATGGCCGCGTCTTGCGGCGGGTGCCGAGGTCTTTTGGACTGGCGCGACTCTTCCAGACGGCTCGTCTCGCTTCAGTGAGTACTAGTCAATTCCACTAGACTAAGAGGACATAATCTTATAGCCTATGCAGACGCCAACGTTACGAGCAGTACTCAGGCCCTCGCGCGCCTGAACGAGCTTCGCTACCGCTTCGTCGATAGGGGTGTCAACGCCATCGCGCTGCAGCCGAAGTGGTGCGTTTTGAGGCCTGGGGAATGCGACCTTGATTCTTAGCGGCGGCGACCCGAGTCCAAGTGAAAACGGAAAAATGTGCATATTGTACAACATCGCCGAACAGAAACAGAGATCCAGGGTCAAGAAAGTACCGGGACATCATGCTTTACACTTCGATTTGTGACGAGGCCAGTCCTTCTTCTGACATGCCTGCGAACAGTACCGCACCTTCGAACACCCCGAACACGCCTTGAGCTTCGGCTGCCCACGACCTCTGCACACCGAGCACTTGTGTGCCGCAGGATCGCGCCCGACCGTCTCGAGGTACGACACCGCGAACAGCGGCGAGAGCGCGATGCGCGTCACGTACGGCGCGTACTTCCGCCACTGCTCGACCTTGAGCAAGCCCTCCACATCCTGCCCCTTGCCGCAGCTGCACAGCGGGTCGGCCTCCATCTCCACCGTCAACGGCGCCTGTTGCCGCCTCAGATACTCGCAGTCGTCGTTGTGCTCCCACATCCGACAGCGCTCGACGAACGCCGGGATGAGCTGCTTCCACGCCTGCATCTCGCCCTCGAAGACGGACACGTTCGCCATGTCCCCGCCCAGCACGAGCTTGCCGAAGAAGCGCTCGATTTTGGGCATGATCGCGTGCGTGAGCGGGAGGACGTAGGCGTCGCAGACCATCGTGTGCGAATGGAGGTCGAAGCGCACGTCCGAGACGAAGAAGATCGTGTCGCAGTTGTTCGTCTGCTCGTCCCGCAGCGCGAAGACGCGCTGCGCGCGGCCGCCCTGAATACCCGTGGACCTGATGAATGCAGCGTGGATGGTGTCTTTCACGAACATCAGCGCGTCGGCGCGGTGCTTCTTGCGCATCGTGCGCTCCCGGGTCGACATCATCGAGCCGACGTGTGTGCCGAGCCACTCGTCCATCCGGGGCGCGCTCGAGTCTAGCACTGGGAGCCGGGATAGCGCGAGGCGGTGGATGTTCCAAGGATGTAGCGCTCTGCCTGAGCCTATGACCGGAAAGGGGTTCAGCTTCATCCCGTCGGGTTTCAAGAAGGGTCCGGCGACAGGCACCACAACCTGGTGTCGGTCAAGTCAGATCGGCGAAGATTGGGACGTGAATATGCTGCTCACCTCGATGTATAGTGATTTACGCGCTAGGCGAAGCTTGTTCTGGCTTCCGATCACCGGGAAGGGGAAAACAACGTCCTGAGAGTAGCCAGCGACAGCGAGACGCATGCAGCACGGTGACGTCTGTGTGATCTGCGGAGTAGCACCGGCCGTGCCAAACTCGCGCTTCACGTCGGGAGCTTCCACAAGGACTTTACTCGCTAGGGTCTGTATGAGCTCGCACTGCTCGTCGAGCTCGACGAATACTGCCTGCTGCGTTCCGACGTGGTCTCGGAGAGTCGAGTTTGGTCGCAGGAGTGGTCCCAGCGGCGCCTCGAAGTCGACACTGGGTAACGACATCTCGGGGACGACGAACACATGCTCCTCGTCCATGAGGCTGGCGCTGAAGATGCCGAGCTCGAGCCCCAAGTATCTCGTCAAAAGAGCAGTGCCGGTCGTGCTCCGCACGGAGAGACAGACCCTGAGGCTGCTTGGCGGTTCGATGTTTGTGAGGAGCATCGCGGGAACGCAGAACGACACGACGAGCGGCATCGAGCCCCTCCAGCCTTCCGGGTCCTCCTCGAAGAGCACGCGTGGGCTGTTCTTCGTGCCTGTGGAGATGGCCCGCCCCCACGCGACGTGCACGGCACAGAAGATGTTGTGCGACCATTTCCCGCGGATGTCGCAGTGCAGCGGTGGCGTGGCGACGTTGGAGGCCCGAGCCGCGTTCTCGAACGCCGTGATCTTCTCGCGCGGCACCGACAGGATTACACGAACGACGGGTGGGACGGTCTCCCAGCCAGCGAAGCGTCCGATCCGCGGGATTCTGTCTGTCTTGTAGAAATCGACAGTGTGGACGCCTTGCCGGTGGAGATGGGCGTAGAGGTCGTTGCGGTTCACGGTGTTCATGGGCATGGTCTGGTCGGCCTCCTCTAGGTCGAGGAACCGGTCCATGACCTCGAGCCACTGCTCATGCGGTATACGGAGGCGTTCCCGGACGAGCTTGAGCAGCATGGCGAAGCCCTCGCGCATGTAGTGGATGAGGTTCGACGAGGCCATAGCTCTCATCAGGTTTGCCTGGTTCTGCTGCAAGAACGTCCGCGCGTCCTCCTGCTCGAAGACTGCGTGGTACATGTCGAAGAGAAGCGTCCCGAGTTGGCGCGTATCGAGCACGGGAGGGAGGCGCAGACGACCGCCGCGAAGAGCGATCTCGCTGTCGCAGGAGCCGGGTCGCTTCCACGTCGTCACCTGGTGAAACTGAGTTACATTCCCTCCGGCCAATTTGTGCAAGATAAGCTCGTGTGTGTTAGAGCGGGAGGTGAAGCCAGACAGGTAGTCGATAGGGCACAAGTCGAGGAGTAAACCCACAGTCCCGATATCGGCATAGAGAAGGTCCGCGAACTCCTTCGTAGCGTCCTCGCCTTTGAAATGCAACGACTCCGTGTAGAGCACACTAGACGGTGAGGGAGAGAGCAAAGGGACTGCCGCAACGAGGATGTTGAGCAGGCCGATGTAGTCGATGAGGTTGGAGGTCTCAATAACGTTGAACGTGGCGGGAGCCTCATCGCGAACGTACTCTTCCGTGGATAGACGTAGTAGCTGAGTCTTGTATTGTGCGATAGGGACGCCCGCGTTCAGTGTACCGCTCTCTCGGAATGCCTTGAGGGACCGGCAGAAGGCGGTCGCTTCCGCGAGACACAGACGGATGCGAGGAGTCTGTGTAAAGTTTGTCAAAGCGCTACGGAAGGCGTCACACCACTGAGAGAACTGTGCCTGCGCGGCTTTCACCAGGTTTGTAGGCCTCACATCGCTTTTGGAGTTCCCAAAGAGTGCGGCAGAGTGAAACGTCGACATTGGGTCGGTGGCGTAGTGTACTGTGCAGCCCTCGCCGGACAGCGAGTAGGCGAAGGTGGGATTGAGGGACTTCGCGAGGGCGACTTGCTTTGGGTCTGAGAACGTCGTCCCGGTCTTCCAATAGTTCTTGACTTGATCTGTTGATACCAATGAGCGGACAATCGTGGGGCCGGCAGAACGTGCGGCTGTCAGGGGAGTATCGAAGTTGCGGGACTGTTTGAACACGTTCTTGTATCCGTCGCGGATCGATGCGAGGCGTGAGGGGGGCAGGTCTTGCATGGCAATATACAGTGACCAATGGCGACGAAGTTCGACCAGGGTGTGATCCGTGAAAACTCGCAGATAGGAGCCATACGGGGACGAGCGCCATGATGCCGCGGTGACAGAGGCGTCGACGAGTTTCTTGCACTGTGCGCGCAGGACGGAAAGGGAGCCATCGTCAAGGTACAGATGGTAGAAGATGTTCCAAAGCGTTTGCTGTGACATGTTTTCCGCGATGAGACTGAACAACAAGGCGTTACGAGCTGCTTGAAGTGTGAGTAGATGAACACATTTCACCGACGCTACTACATACCGAGCACACCCGGTTCATTATCACAGCAGGTGAAGTCCAACTTGCGAGGAGCTATGAATGGAATCTAATGGTCAGTTACGAGAGATAAAGTTGGATCGTGCAACTCACAAGCATCGGGCTCGGAGAAAACAGTATACAGCACATGGCGGGGGTCACCGCATCCAAGCAGCACGACATCCGCGGATTCTTCGGGAGCGAGGTCCCGGGTCAGACATACCGCAGGCGTGTTTCCGATGGGGTAGAAGAAATATGTTCCTGGCCAGACAAGCGGGTGAGCCATGAGATGAAGGGGGCGGATGGTGAAGCACAGTCGGGCACATCACATACACTTGGATCCTGATATACTCCCAGACGCTTGCCTGTCATCGAAGCTTCGAAACCTCGCGCGCAGGGGTAGGCAACCCCGTGAGACATAAGCAAGTGCTGCGGTAGCATTGTGCGGCGGCGGTACTCAGCATGTCTTAATAGTAGAGGTTGCACCACGTACTAAAGTTCATGAGCACTGCGAGGCCTTTCCTCTGAGTTGTTTCAGACCCTCTCCTGGAAGGCATGGATAAAATTTGCGCATCGAAGGCCGAGGGTGTATGATGGTCGAATAATCGTCCGAGTTCTGTTTTGTTATATTCCACTGCTGCGTACGTTCTTATGAAAACTCATGTCCGGCGCGAGGTTTGTAACCCACGAATGGAAGCTTCCCTGAGTCTCGATGATAGCTGTTCTTTCATTCAAACGGGATCAGCGAACGAGCAGATGATGAGCAGATTGAACTTCTCGCCCACCACGTTGTGGTGGTGGCAATTCCTTAAAAACCGAGTGCAGATCGAACGACAACCTTGCTTCGCGTGCGCTGGCATGCTCGCTCACCATATTTTGGGTTATTTGGCTGTCGTGTATGCACACCACGATAGAGCACAGAGATCAAGCCCAAGAGTGGAAAGATCTAGCTACGTAGTACATGATGCATGACGGCCAGTTAAGGAAGAGACGCGAGCCGTTTGCGTAGGCGCGACGTCGAAATTGGGGCCGCGCGAGCGCTAGACTGAACTCAGCCATAGCCGTGATGAAGCTTTGAAGTCCGAGCCAAGTCCGAGCACCCATGTAGGAAGTTTGCTGACTGCGAAATATAGTACACAGTGTAGTTCGACAGCAATGAAACATAGAAATATCTGAGTGACGAGTATACAGCGACATCACGCTTTACACTGCAGTTTGTGACGAGGCCAGTCCTTTTTCTGACACGCCTGCGAGCAATATCTCACCTTCTGACACCCTGTGCACGCCTTGAGCCTCGGCGTGCCGCGGCCTCTACATACCGAGCACTTGTGCGCGGTGGGATCGCGCCCGACGGTCTCCAGGTACGACACCGCAAACAGCGGCGAGAGCGCGATGCGCGTCACGTACGGAGCGTACCTACGCCACTGCTCGACCTTCAACAGCCCCTCCACATCCTTCCCTTGTCCACAACTACACAGCGGGACAGCTTCCATCTCCAGCGTGAGCGGCGCCTGTTGCCGCTTGAGGTACTCACAGTCATCCGTGTGCGCCCACGTGCGGCAGCGCTCGACGAACGCCGGGATGAGCTGCTTCCACGCTTGCATCTCGCCCTCGAACACGGATACGTTCGCCATATCGCCCCCGTATACGAGCTTCCCGAAGAAGCTGTCTATCTGGCGGAGAATTGCGCGCGTGAGCGGGAGCACGTACGCGTCGCAGACCATGGTGTGGGAGTGGAGGTCGAAGCGCACGTCCGAGACGAAGAAGACCGTGTCGCAGTTATTCGTCTGGTCGTCCCGGAGCGCGAAGACGCGCTTGGCGGCCCCGCCCTGTATGCCGGTGGATCGGACGAAGATGGTGTGGATGGAGTCTTTGACGAACATGAGCGCGTCTGCGCGGTGTTTCTTCCGCATCGTGCGTTCCCGGTTCGAGAGCATGGATCCGACGTGCACATCTAGCCACTTGGAGATCTCCGGCGCGGTCGGGGAGAGCACAGGGAGTCGAGACAGAGAGAGGCGGTGGATATTCCAGGATTGCAGGGCCTTGTCGGTACCGACGACAGGGAAGGGGTTCAACTTCATCCCGTCGGGTTTCAAGAACGGTCCCGCGATAGGCACCACGACCTGAGATCGGTGGAGCAGTAATCAGCAGCAATTCCCCCACAACTCGGACGTGATCGAGCGAAATGATACTCACCTCAATGTACAAGGATTTTCGTGCGAGACGAAGGTTGTAATCGCTGCCGATCACGGGGAAGGGGAAGACGACGTCTTGAGAGTGGCCTGCGACGGTGAGACGCATGCAGCACGGCGACAGTTGCGTGATCTGGGGGGTAGCACCAGCGGAGCCGAATTCATGTTTGACGTCGGGGTCCTCGACTATGACCTTGCTGGTCAATGTCTGTACAAATTCGCACTGCTCGTCGAGCTCGACAATCACCGCTTGTTGGGTTCCGATTTGGCTTTGGAGCGTCGAGTTCGGCCGGAGGAGTGGACCCTGCGCACCTTCGAAGTCGGCTGAGGGCAGTGACGCCTCGGGGACCACGAACACATGTTCCTCGTCCATGAGGCCCGCGCTGAACACAGTAAGCTCCATCCCTAGATGCTTCACGAGCGCCATAGAGCCGGAGGTGCACCTGACCGCGAGACGGATGTGGAGCGCGCTCGGGTGTTCGAGGTTCGTCAGGAGCACCGCCGAAAGGCAGAACGAGACCACGAGCGGCAACGTGCCCTTCCACCCGTCCGGGTCCTCCTCGAACAGCACACGCGGGCTACTCTTCGTTCCCGTGGATATGACCCGCCCCCACGCGACGTGCACGGCACAGAATAGGTTCATCGTCATTGCGCCCCTCAGGTCGCAGTGCAGGAGCGGCGTGCCAGCCTGGGTGATGCGCACTGCCCTCTCGAAGGCCGCGATCTTCTCGCGCGGTACCGAGAGGATAACACGCACGATGGGCGGGACGGACTCCCACCCCGCGAACGGGCCGGTCTTCGCAGGCTTGCTCATCTTGAGGAAGCCCACTGTGTATACGCCCTGCCGATGGAGATGCGCATAGAGGTCATTGCGGTTCATGGTGTTCATCGGCATCGTCTGATCGGTCTGCTCGAGCTCCATGAAGCGGTCCATTATATCACGCCATTGGCTGCTTGGGATGCGGAGACGCTCGCGAAAAAGCTTGAGCAGCATGGCGAAACTCTCGCGCATGTAGCAGTGGAGGAGGTTGGACATGACGATAGCCTTTGGCAAGTTCGCCTTTCGCATCTCATGGAACGTCCGGGAATCCTCCTGCTCGAACATGGCGTGATACATGTCGAAAAGAAGGGTACCCAGCTGACGGGGATCGAGGACGGGTGGCAAACGCAGATGGCCACCGCGGAGAGCGAGCTAGAGGCATGGTGCCTGGCCGTATCGACGGAAAATTGCGCAGGTGTTGAGTACGGCCGTGACGGTACGAGTGTTCGAGAGCAAGATTAACTTAGCGCCCATAGTCTCCCAGTCTTCGACCACCATCATCTCCAATTTCTGCGCTGGATCGAGGAGCGAGTGAGTGGTACCAATATTGTCATATATCGTCAGGCTGATTATTTGACTGTGACTTTGATAGACACCGAGCCTATGACTCTAGCGTCGCATGGTTTGAACGTCGCAGCCCACCAGCATTCCAAACCAGGTAAGTACTACAAATATTGATCTGGCCTAGGAGGATATAAACCGTGCCTTTCCACACTGACCATTAACTATTATACAGCGTCGCCCTCTTGAAGTTGAACAGTCGAATTCCACAAGTATATCCCTGATCACTCGAAACAGTCAGCGATCTGCAATTGCTTCCTCGACGTCCTCTTCTAGACCGAGCATTCCAATCCCACGCAGCTCCCGCCCGATAGCGCGACTTTAGCTCCTCCTAAAAACTGCGGGTGTTATCATCACCGGACCGTCGCGGCGCCCCGAGTCCCGCTTCAGCGAGGACGTCACCGACGCGATATATTTTTACTTCTTCGCGTTGTGCGCATGTGGACCCCAGCCAGAAGTCGGCCAGCGATGCTGTTATCTCTCCCCACCCGCGAATAATTTCCACGCTTCGCCATCTGACCATGGACCCACCCATTTCATCCGCACTCTCGCCGGTGACCTCCAAGGCTTATCGCTATCGTGCTATGCTCTGCCGTACATTGAAAAGCGAACAAAGGTGGCCTGTGCAAGTCGAGCTCGAGCCCTCTCGGAGCGCCACTTCTGCTGACTCCCTGCCATGGAATCACTCACCGAGGAGGATTATTCGTCTCCCGAGGTCGAAGGCACCGTCCGTGTCCACCCTGCAGTCGGCATTCCACCTGCATCACCTACTTCAGAGAATGGGGACCTAGACCGCAAAGACGAAAAGGCCTCATTCACCGAGATAGACCAGGTCGTATCTGTCACCTCCTTATACAGCGACGACACAGACGACGCGCTGCAAGATCTGGGCACCGACAATCCGTTTCCTGCCGATCCTAACGCACTGCCGGAAGAACAGCAATTCACATTCCGTGCCGTGTTCGTTGGCTGCGCGCTCGGGGCGGTTATCTCTGCGAGCAAGTAAGTGCGTTCCGTGTTCGGGGAGTTGAGATCACAATTGACCAGTCACAAATTCGTAGTGTGTACCTCGGTTTGAAGACCGGGTGGACATTCGGGGCGTCCCTCTTCGGATCCATATTCGGCTTTGCGATCCTTAAACCTCTTTCCCGGATGTTGCCGGAGAGTTTTGGAGGCGGTTACTTCGGTCCTAAAGAAAACGTCTGCTGTCAGAGTGCGGCAACGGTGAGCCCCTGGACTCGGTAATACTCCTCTCGACATCCGCTCAATTTCTAAACAGGCCGCGGGCTCACGCGTCGTCTTCAGATCTCCTGTGGGGATCGTTTAGTATCTCCAAGCGTTTTCGACGAGATGAGGGGACGTACCGAGCATGTCTGCGACCTGCTCTGAAGCGGCGAGGGTGATCATACCGGTCAGGCCGTTGTTGAGCTGATTCGCCATAGGCGCGAGCCCCGTGCCCTTGGAAATGCCGCCAAACACGAGCTGCGCGAAGTTCCCCAGAGTCGTGACGGGTGTTACCGAAACGCGCCCGGTGCATTCGGCGCCGACAAGGGAGAACAAGAAGGAGAAGAGGATCGCCAGGAGGGTCACGCCTGCGTTCTGCCCGAACTGGTAGCGCATGACGAGCATCGTAAGGATCGTCCCCGCCGCGAGCCCGCCCGTCCACATCCACCAGGGCGTCTGTTCGTCGAGTGGGACAGGGTCGAAGTACGGGTCCTCCTTCAGCTCGTCGTCTGACACCTCGTTGCCCCCAGAACCTCGTCGCCTGAACAGCCTGAGCCTCGCAATGGCGGAGGCTACTGTGATCGCCTCGCTCTTGATCACCGCGCCTCCGTTTCCGACGATCTCGGCCATACTCGCACACAGCAGCACCGCGCACCCAGGCCAGATCATCCAGTACTTCGGGGAGGGGTGCCCGACGGGGTCGTCGAGGACCATATTCGCGAAGTTCATGTACTCGGGGGACGCGCCCGTCAGCGACGCAGGGGTGCCGAACGCGCGGTTCGTGGCGACGAGCGCGGGGCCGATAATCGCCCAGGCGAGTGCGGACCCGCCGACGAACGAGACGGACGAGTTCAGCGGGACGAGGAGGCCGACCCCGATGAAAGCTGGGGTCCACTCCCAGATCCAGCCCTGCGTCGCGGAGTCGCGTCAGATGTGCGGAGGGACGGCGGGGACACGAGACTCACCCAGTTCTCGGCTCGGATGATCCACGTCCAGCCAGCCTTGTAGAACCACCAGCCCCAGTGCCAGTCCCACATGATGCCTGGGGCGTACTCGCTGATGATGCGCCATGCGATGGCGAGGAGAAACGAGACGATGAGGGCAAGCGTCTTCTTGCGTGCGTTGGCAGCCGCATTTCGTCCAACATGTAGGGATCGGATGGTGTAGGCTGCCGCGACTGCGCTTGGGAACGTCAGCTTGAGCTTGAGGATGTAGAGCCGGCGGAGCGGCATCGTGAAGAATATGCCGACGTAAGCGCAGCAAAGCGTGAATGTGATGATACGTCTGTAACGGATCTTTGAGCGAGTGGTATAATGCCACGGGGATCCGAGGGACATACCCAAAGTCCGCTACGGGGTCGTCGTGCAGGAGGCCAAGCTGATATGCAGCGGGAAACCCCGACGTGAACAGCAGCCCCAACCTGCTCGGTGCGTCCCCGCGCGTGCAGCTCTACGCGCAGTGCTGCGGCGCGCTCGTCTCCATCTTCCTCTCCGCCGGCATGTACGTCGTCTTCGTCAAGGCCTACCCCTGCATCAACACGCTCAGCACGACCACCTGCGCCTTCCCCGCGCCCGACGTCGGCGCCTGGCGCGCCGTCTCCGTCGCCGTCTCGTCCCCCTCGCTGCCCATCCCGCGCTCCTCGGGCATCTTCGCGCTGTGTCTGGGCGCGCTGGCGATCGTGTCGACGCTTGTCAAGTACCGCTTCGTGCGCAGCCCCGAGCGCCGCGCGTGGTTCCCGAACTGGAACGCGGTGGGGATCGCGTTCATCCTGGGGCCGCTGTGCACGTACCCGATGGCGATGCTGTTTGGGAGCCTGGTTGCGCTGGCGTGGAGGAAGTATTGGCCGGCGGGCGCGGTTATGTACTGCTATGCCGTCGCGGCGGGCATGATCGCGGGAGAGGGTCTGGGCGGAATCGCTAACGCGGTGCTGCAGATTGCAGGCGTGTCGGGCGCGGTGAAGGGTACTGCTGTGGGATGCCCGTTGGATGTTTATTGCGGGTAGTTAGGCTGCCTTGACCTGTGTAAGAATAGATAAAGGCATTGTCGAACAGCACTCGGAGACGAGTTCTATCCCCGGTCATGCCTGGCTCAACGCAAAACAGAGGTTACAAGTACAACAAAAAGAGAGCGATACGTACAAATACAGCACATTCCCCACCACCAACGACCCCTCACCCCAGCCGCGCCTTCTTGCGCGAGCCCGTCCCGTTCCCGCCCGCGCTCATACTCGCGAAGCTCGCCGCGCTGCCGACCTTCGAGTGGTTCGAGTGCGAGTGCGAGAGCTGCGACAGGTGCGCCTGCGCGGTCGCCTGCACCTGCGAGACCTGCGCCTGCACCTGCGAGCCCGCCGCCGCGACGGGCATCATCGACGGCGCGTCGTCGTGCGTGATGCGCCGGTGCGGCGGGATCTGGTGCGATGGGAGGGAGTCGAACGCGCTGTAGGACGGAGCGTGAGTTCTTTGGGTGCGAAGGAGATAGAAGGGGGGTCAGATCGTACTTGCGGGTGGGGCGCGGTTCCTCTTGGAACCACTTGTGTTGTAGGGCCTCGGCGGCGGTGAGGCGCTTGTCTGGGTCGTATGCGAAGAGTTGTGCCAGGAGGTCTGTGCCATGCGGGCGGATGCGGGACTGGCACCACTCGGTGAGGCGGGTTTGGTAGCTGGGCGCATACTTCAAAACGGCGGTGACAAACAGTTTGCGCGCAGAGTACGTACACGTCAAGCCGCTTCATGTTCTGGTACTCGGGTAGGTCCTTGATCTTGGGCCAGTCGCGCTCTATACAAACAGATCAGGATTTGCTCTTCCGAAATAGCAGGACGTGCGTACCCATCGGTGTGCCGAGCACTTCGAAGATCTTCAGCAGCTGGTCCTTCTGGAACGGCACGTTTTTCTTCGAATCCAGCTTCGCCTCCTCGCCTTTGAAAATGGGCCGCAGGCTAGCGAGCTCCGCCATCACGCACCCCACGGCCCAGATATCGACGGACTTGTTGTAGTGCTTCGCGCCCAGCAGTAGCTCCGGGGCACGATACCATATCGTGACGACCACCTTGTCGCCTAGGAAGAGCGGCTGCAGTGGCTGATGCGTGAGACGTGCGAGGCCGAGGTCGCCGATTTTGACGACTCCAGCGGACGTGATGAGGATGTTGGCGGGCTTGAGGTCGCGGTGGATGATGTGCGCCTCGTGCAGGTACAGGAGCCCGTTGATGAGCTGGTAGGTGAGTGATTTGAGGACGGCCTGGGTGATGGAGGAGCGCAGTGTCTGCGAATGGTGGTGGATGACTTGCTGCACGATGGTTAGTCTCACAGGCGGGCCGGGAGCGGATAATATTTTACCAGGAAGTCGTGCTCGGCATACTCAAACACCATATAAATGGACTTGTCCTCGAGGATGACCTCCTTAAGAGCGACGATGTTCTCGTGAGAGATCTCCCTGTTTAACTGAAGTTGCGTCAGAGAGCAGGACTTCCGCGACGATTCCCAGGCACTTACTGCAATCTCGCGGATGGCGCTCTGGCTGATGCCGGTGTAGGTGATCACATCACCCTCTTTGTCCGGCTTGAACTTCTTGATGGCGTGTATTCGGCCATCGCTGTCTTTGCTCTGGGCCTTGTAGACTCTGCCGTATGTGCCGGAAGAGATGAAGCCGAGGATGGAATACTTGTCTGTAACGCGTTTGCGCGCGGCGTCACGTTTCGCGCGGTAGACACGCATAGGATCATTGACGAGAATGTTGCTTGTCGACCAATCGTCCAACAGAGACATCCCAGAAGGAGTTACTGGGTAGGGACAAGATGAGCGTTGCGGAGAAGGAACGTTGTGGCACGGGCGCTAACACACGACTCCGACTGTGGCACAGCTTCGCTGTAAATAAGATCCTCTCTGCAGCGATTACAAGACACAGCCGCCATTTACTAAAGGCTTTACAATTCGAAGTACATAAGTGAGTAGTCTCACAGCCCAAACACCCTCTAAGGCCTAAGCTCATTAACATACAGCGGGTGCGCCCGTACCTGCGCCTCCCAGAACGGCCACGCCTTCACGATCGCGCCATCGTTCATCTCCTTCGCATCCCGCGCCTCCGCCGCACTCAAATATATGCCCCTTGCTCCTGGCGTTGCGCGCACGACTGCCTCCGACATCTGCTGCACCTTCGCGTTCTCCTCCGCGTACACCGCGCGGTACACCGCCTGTCGCAGCGACGTGCCCCACGTCACGAAGCCGTGCCCGCGCTGCAGGACCAGCGCGTGCGTCGGCATCCGCGGCAGCGGAAGCTCGAAATCGCTGATGCAGCCCGCGAGCGCGCCCCCGAGGAAGGGCGTCGATATAAGGAGGTCGCGCTTGTTCACGGTTATCCCGATCTCCTCAGGCTCATAGCACCCCAGCTGCTGCGGGTCGAAGATGGGCACGTCCCCGGCAGCGCCAATGAAGCCGCCCATGTGCCACATCGCACGCAGGATCCCAGTGGGCCTGTCCGAGTCGTCCGTGTCGCAGTTGGACATCGCGACGACGGCCTTTGCGTGTGAGTGCACGACGCATGCGACGTCGGGGTATGCCTCGTACATCTGCGCGTGGATGGACAGCTCCGAGTAGGGCGAGTCGTGGCCGTCGGTGCTCCCGGAGATGGGCGCGGCGGTCTCGACGTCGTAGCTGCCGATGTCGTCTGCGGTGCGCATGAGCGCGGGCGGCATGGATCCTGTCATGAGGAAGGTGGAGGGGTCGGTGGGGACGCGCATGGATATGTGTCCGAAGGCGTCGACGATGCCGTGGTAGGAAAGGATGTGATTTGCGGTGATGAAATCGGCGTAGACGGCGTTCATGTCGGGAGAGCTCATAATGCTGCAGTGAGTTTCGTATTATTATACTTGTGTCGTCGGCCAGGAAGGAAACTCACAAGATTGAGAGCAGTTCAAGATGGCGGGCGACTGAGGGGGAGACGTAAGCTCGAGAACGTGAAGACTGCGGCGCGCTATTTCTGGATTGGTGACTTCCTGTGACCTCACGCCTCCTTGCGCTCATCTTCATGCGCTCTGTGCTTTGTTTCACTTATGAGAGGGCGAAGTTGGCCATTGATGGGAGCGGATCACGATATTCAATTCGTCCAGTCCGAGTACCACGGTATGTTACAATGCAGGAAAGGCGTCAAGAAGGCGTGCATCGCTGTTATCACTGCTTCACCGTAACCGTAGGGACAGTGTCGGTGGTAGTGGTAGTGGTTGTCGCCAACGACGTCTTAGTCGCGGTCTCGGTATCAGTGATGGTACCGTACTTCGTGCTCGTGACCGTGCTAGTCACCACCGGGTTCGTGGTCGCGCGGACCGTCGTCGTCGCGAGCGCGGTGCTGGTGGTGGTAGACGTAGTCATGAACGTCGCGGTGCTCGTGACTGTCGCTGTCGACAGCACTGTGGAGGTGCGCGTCGCAGTAGTGGTGACGACCTTCGTCGACGTTGATGTCGCGGTGATGGTCTTCTGTGCGGCGCGCTTGCCGTTCGCATTGGCGGCGGGGTGGGTTATGGTGGCTGTGACCGTGGCAATAGAGAACGCGGGGTGTACGACCGTCAAGGTGGTGGTGGTGGCTTTGCAAGAGAGGGCTGCGCGAGCTTCGACTTCTGAAAAGGAGGGTGAGTGCTGATACGGCGTCAAGATAAATTTGACATACCATTGGCTTGCGCACCGGCACATACGGCGAGAACCGCGGCGAATACGGTAGCGAGTTTGTACGAGAACATATTGTTGAGGTTGTGAGGCTGAGGTGTTGTAGAGTTGTGGATGTGGATGGAGATCTTACCGCAAGTATGGAGGGCCTTATATACACTCGAGCATGCATCCGTAGTGGCCCTCTACTACCCTCACGGTGCCCCAGCGAAACTCGACCTTTGCGACGCTCATCTTCGCAGCGGCTGAGGGAAAGCGGGAAAGAAGAGGAGTTCGCGGAGTCGTCGACTCGGTTAACGGGGCGGCCCGGCTAATCCCGGTGGCTGTCCGCCCTCGGCTGTTCCCGATATGGTATCCGTCGGCCACAAGCGCCCGTTCTCCGCCTTCCCCTCCACCATCGACTCCATCACGAGCCTCTCTTCCGTACGCTGCACCACTCGTACGCGGATCGCGACTTTCTTAGAGATGCGGGATAACATGACTTCTCCCTCCAAAAACTCGGAAACATGGTTAACCGCTATCCTCGGAATTATGCCTTAGTGGACTCAGCTTGAATCGGCCCCCATGGTCCGCATCGGATGTACCGCACACACTAATCCGTCTTTCGCTTTCTCCTCGAGCCGCGTCGTATAGGTATCCGGCCTCCGGCCGATCTGGACTATGTTCGTCGAGAGAAGGTTCGGTCGATCACTTGCTAACAGCACTACAACCTCGGATCGTTTGCTTCCGCTGGGACCCCACACCGATGCTGTGCTGTGCTCCTCTTCTCTCGAACACACATCCATCTCTTGGTACGGGATACTGGCAGAAATTTTAGGGTCTCTGGCGCACGGAAACACGGCTCAGCGGTACGCTCCACCGTCGATCATCATCTCCGCGGGCACACCGGTGTTCACGTCGCTCACTCTCGTGGTTTATTGGTTCGAAGTCCGAGTTACCTTGGGCCAGGCGTGAAGCAGCAGTGCTATTCCTGCCAATAAGGGATGGAAGTGCGGATGTCCCCTGCACGTATATAAGGACACGCGTTTCTGAGGTCTATCCATCACCAAACCACTCCTCGTCTTCCACACCAACTCATCATCGCACAACATGTTCGCTACCAAGTCCGCTATCATCCTCGCCGTTCTCGTCACACTCGGCGCAGAGGTTGTCGGTGAGCAGATCTCTCCGCTCGAAGCCTCAAACATCACTAACGCAGCCCACCAGGCCAATTCGCCGATTACCCGGGCTACCAGGCGGCCGCCGTCGCGCCGTGCCCCGCCGCGTCCATCACGACGACAACAGTGAGGCCCACCTCCACCTTCACAAAGACAAAGACGACCACCGTCACCGCCATGCCCGAGCGCAAGCGCGCCGAGCACCACCCGCACGCTCCCGCCGGGCTCACCGCCCGCGCCGACGTCACCCCGACCACCACGATTACGGTGACGCGCACGTCGACGGCCACGGACACCGCCACGCGCACCGTCACGAGCACGTCGACGAGCACCAGCACGACGAGCACGACGCTCACCGCGACGACGACCGCGCGCGTCACGCGGACGTGCACGGGCACGACCACTATTACGAGCCCGGTGACGCGCACTACGACGATGACGGTTACGGGCACCCGTACGGCGACTGTTACGGCGTTCACTACCGACGCGGAGACTTCGACGGCTACGGTGACTACGACCGTCGGGGAGACCACGGTGACGCCGAACGCGCGCCGCGCTATTCACACTCCCATGCCCATCATGGCTTGAAGCTCGACCCGTCATATGATGTAGTCATCCCCTGCGTGTCATAATTATGGCGCATTTCAATCCACACATTCCACAACATTTTGGTCATTCCCCAGCACATACCGCGGCACCGGCTCCCCTTAGACGTTAGACAATGTCCGGGACGGCACACAGTGCAAGAATATGCGTTATAATAGCGGACGTAGCTCGCTACCCCGACGTCGGGAAGGGGTTTGCACGGAACCAATTCCAAAGGTCACCCCGGCATCATTGACAGTTAGTCAAGGGAGAAACGGTAACGGCGCACCCTCGCGGTTCACGGAAGTTGTACGGCTCACGCGTCTCTGGCATTTGGGTCTGGCAGCCCCGCAAAAACAACATCCGATTCCTGGGAAAAAAACGCGGTATATGACATAGAATCACCGACCGACCGAACGCGCACTCAGTTCAGCGAAATCTCCTCCGTCTCCCCCAAGTCGTCGTCCGCGAGGTCGTTCGCGCTCGCGAGCGACCGCTCCTTCTCGACCGGCGGAGGCGGCGGAACCTCGACACTCGACGGCGCTACCATACCCACCGTCGTCAACTCCGGATCTACATCTGCGTCCTCCTCCGCGTCTTCCGCGTTGTCCGACTGCGGCGGCGGAGGGAGCGGCGCCTCGTCGCCCGCATGGGACGCCAGCGGGGGTGACATGGTCGAGTTGTGGGGGACGGGCGGCACAGGCGGGGCCTGCGTCGGGCTGGGCGGCGGGAAGCGGAAGTTCTTGCTCATCGTGCCCTTGCGCTTCCTGCCGGCTTTTTCATCGTCCTCCTCGTCGTCTTCACCGCCCTCCTGCTCTTCACCGCCCGAGAGTTCGGACTCTTCGGCGATCCGCTGCGTGCGCGGGAGCCCGGCGGAGTGTGGTGGGTCGGCGGCAGGAGGCGAGGTGGAGGTGACGCGCTGGGGCGGCATGGACTGGCGGTTGGCCGCGTGCTTCTGCTGCGTGGGCGACGCCGTGGAGCTACGTTGTGAGGGGGACTGGAGGTTCGCCTGGGACATGGACTGGGGACGGAAATGTGACGGCGACGCGGGGTTCTCGCCCAGGTAGAACGGCCGGATGGGCATCATCCTATATTATTATCAGCCCACAGAGCGGATAGATAGGGCGGATATTGACTTACTTCTTCTCGGCTAGACATGCAAGAACCCACTGCGGCTGGACGACAGGTATGCTCAACTGCAGAGCCTTCTGGTATTCGACACCCGGGCCCGTAACAATGGCGCCAGACGCTTGCGCCCCGCTGGGAGTTGCCGCAGGGGTCGTACAGACAAAGTGAGTAGTGTCGATTTGGATTTTGTCGCTCCACTTGGCACCCATCTCACGCAAGGCCAGTTTCGCATTCTCGAGCGCGACCTCATCTTCTACAGTCCCGAAGCAGACGGAAATGCCGGATGTATCTGACATGGTATGGGTGCGGATACGGAGGACGTTGGACGGGTAGACACCAGCAGTTGTGCGCAGGACAAGCTGGAAGGTGTATTCGGTGTCGAGCTGTAGTCCAGAAACCTTGGTAGAGGTGTTCGTGAGCGGAGCGGGTATAGCAGCGACGCGCTGACGGTCGCGGTACAGGTCCAAAGAGCGAAGCTTCGCCGTCGCAAGGTCGAGACGGGGCCACTCGAGTGTTACAGAGGTTTGGGTAACATTGCGGAGCTGGCACAGAGGTGAGGAGAAACGCAGCAGAATCACTGACGAGACGTACCTCCAGCTTCGGCGGCTCCGGCACGCGCGTCCCATACTCCTCGAGAATGTCCCCTTGCAGGTCCCAGAAGTCTGTCTCTCTCTTCTTCTCCTCTACTACGTTTCGTTGTACGGAGATGTTGACTATTGAGCCGGTGGTCACGCCGGGAGGTAGCAGCAACGAAGGGAATTCAATCAGGTGGGCTCGCTCGCCGAGGAGTATCTGTGAAAGCACTTCAGTATCAGGCACATTTCGCAATCTAACGCTGGGCACTGACAGCCATTCCGGCATCTACGCGCAGGGTTCGCCTGGTCAGTACGCGAGCCCATGGCGAGATATTAGTCCTAGCATACCGAGCTTGCCGACCGTAAACATGAAGCTGTCCTGAGACACAACCATCTTGGCGGCTGGCAGTAAGTGTATGAGAGGCGAATGTGAGGTTGTCTGCGTCGTCCTGTGAAGCGGCGAGAGGGGGTTTCGGAGAGAAGATGCACGTAGGGGAGATGGTGGTGGTGAATGGTGAAGTGGCCGAGCGCGAACTGCGGGCGCTCGCTGTCGCGACGAGCGTCTATATGCACGTACAGCCCTTTTGGGCGAAGAAGATCTCTCTCTCTCTCTCTCTCACAGCTGGTTTGTGTTCACGATGTACACTCGTTACTCGGCGAGTGGCTCAATGTCAGCCTCAGCCCACAGGAGAGGTCCAAGATTTATCCAGAAGGTTTCGACGGTTAGATGAATATTCAACACATGATTAAGTTCACTAAATGAGAGTGTTGTGTACAACGAGTAGCAGCATACGTACGGGACGACGGGGGATAGGGAATAAGTAGCATGCACAATGGTGCGCCTACAGCTTCCAACAACGGCGACTATGCCCGTGGAGGGGCCTGCAGTAGAATAGTACCAGTGGTATCAGATCGACATCGCGAGTGTTCGACTTGCATAGCAGATGTAGAGCGAGAATCATACAAAGCACACGCGCACCGATGTGTGCACCATGCACCGCCCAAAGTCCCCATTCCTCCCGGCCCGAAGATGACGAGATATGAACGGCAGCGTTTAGAGATCGGTCCCGACCGCGTCGACGACGTACAGCACCTGCTGCGGCCGCACGAACAGGCCCCGCGACTCCGCCGACGACATGTCCGACACCGCCGGCGACACGCTCCGCAGCCGCTTCGCCCGCTCGATGCTCAGCTGGTCGCCCTCGCGCTTCAGGCTGGTCTTGCTGTCGCGCCCGAGGGTGCTCAGCCACTCGTTCCTTCTTCGGCGTGCCGTCGTGTCCTGCCCAAACTCCCACTCCGACGCCGCCCCGATGTCGAAGTACCGGATCCCGCCCCACGTCCCGTCGTGCCACGCGCGTCCGTCGAGCTTGTCGCCCGGCCATGCGTCGTTCAGCGGGACCTCGACGCCGACCCACGGCCCGGCTTCGCCCTCGACCTCGCCGATGTACCGCGCGTATGCGCGGAAGCGTGCCTTCTTCGACGAGATGATGCACGGGATCCCGATGTCGAGCGTTGCCCCACTCGGGAGCTTCGCCGCGGGCTCGGCCTCGCGAATCGTGTCCGCCGAGCTCTTCCGCTTGAGCGTGGACGTGCTCGTGGACGACACCACACTCCCCTGCTTCTCGTGCGCGAGTGATGGTGGCGACTTCGCTTTGGACTTGATCGTGCCTCCCGCACCGTTCTCGTCTTGTGCCGCCTTGCTGCCCGCCCTTGTTGGGAGGGGCGGCTTGGTCGAGGGCGTGCCGGGCGTCGAGCGCACGACCGATTTCCTTGTAGTGGTCGATTTGTTTGAGATCGTCGAGCGGATTGAGGTGGTGGACACCGTGCGTTTTGCCACGGGACTTGTTTTCCCTGATTCTGCCGGTGATGGCGGCGGGCGTTTGCTGACCGACGAAGTCGTCCTCGACGTAACGGAAGGTGGACGCCTCGGAATGCGCGGTGTAGACGTCCCTGTCGTCCGTACGCTCGTCGTCGATACAGCGGAGGCGGCAGAGAGTCGTCGCTGCCGTGTGACATTGCTTGCGGTGAGCTCCGACCGCGCGGTCTCGAACGCAGTTGAGTTTTCGCTCATCGACGAGTTCGACAGGGTCGACGCAGGTCGCGACGCAGCGGACGACGGGGGCCGGAGCGTCGACGGGCCGGCCGCGCCCTTACGTATCGTCGACGTAGTGGAGCGCGTGGACTTGACGGAGGCTGCAACGGACTTGACGGACGCCGCGACGGACTTGGGCCGCGGAAAGCGCTCCGCGGTGGAGTGTAGCGAGGGCGTGCTCGGCTTCCGCACGCTCGCCGTGGACATATTGCTCCTCGGAACGGGACTAGGGCTGGGGGAGAGCGGCGACTTCGCGCGGGCCGAGTCGGCGACGCTCCCGCGTGCGGATGGCGAAGGAGTAGAATGCGCGGGCGTGAGCTTCGAGTCCGGGCGCAGACTTCCCGGGGAGAGCGGCACGCGTCGCGACAGGGTGGTGGTTGTGACGTGCGATGCCGTTGTGACGCGCGAATTAGTTGAGTGCGTGCTGCGCGCAAGGGACCGGACGGATGCGGCCGAGGTCTTAAGTGTATCTGGCGGACGTCTGCTCGTCGCCGTGCTGCGCGTCGAGTGCATGCTGACGGTGTCGGATTCCTCCGCCTTCGATACCGGGCCATTCCGGACGGTGAGACGTCCCCCTCGGGCTGTTGACGTAGGCGTGGTGGGACCAACGAGCTCAGTCTCGTCCTTGAGCTCCAATTCTGCGGCAGGCGTGAGAGAGGGTCGGCTGTAGCCAAGGGAGCTATGACTTACCGGTAGCGATTTCTTTCGCAGCCCAGGGCTCAAGTCCGGCAAACCCGTCTTCTTGCTTGATGGTAAGCCAGCGCCGGCGGATGTAGCGGACAATATCCATCCGCGCTTGTTCTACCTGTACGCGGACGTGGGATGTAGACGAGAGCATCGCTGCCTCTGGGTCGGTGGGGTGTGGGCGCAGGAGCACCAAATCGACAAGGGACTACGTAGTAGTGTCAGAGCCGATCTCGCAAAGAGGCAATTGTAAAAACCCAACCTGGTACGCCATTGCGGCGTTCTTCTCGTTCAGTCCCCTGCGCATCGACTCGAGCAACATTTCGACCTTCTCGCCGTCCTCGAAACGAACGCCGTCGGCCTCCATGATCTCTGACCATTCCGGCAGCTCGAAGCACTCCGCCGCGTGCGAGCACACGACGTCGTCGATCGTCTTGCGCGCAGCGACGACCATGTCGCGCACGGTTTCCGTCCAGGTATCGATCATGGTATCAAGCTTCTTAATCGCGCTCTGCGCAGCCTGGAGGAGCGCGAACACATTCAAGGGCGTCGTACGCTTGCCGAGGCCCTTGAGCAGCGCGTCGCGTGTCTTCTGCGGGAGCGCCGCAAACTCGGCGGTGCACCAGCCCTCGCCGAACAGACCGACGAGCGCACGCCGTGCGCCGCGCTCGAGATGCGCATTCTTTACGTCGTCGAGCACTGCAAATTCGAGCACGCGTGGCGCACGCCGCGCGCACTGGCGGCAGCGGCACCCTCCGGTACCCCATTTGCCGCCGGTAATAGCCTCGTACTCGGAGAACTCGAGGAAGGCATGGAACAGACCGTGCATCATCTCCTGGACAATGCGTGCCTGGATCTCGTCGTACAGAGAGTCGAGGGAGAGATAGGTCGCGGAGCGCATGATGTGGAACGCGGTGTCGAGGTCAAAGGTCCTGTGTGAGAAGATGAGCGTGCCGGTATAGATGAAGCCGAGGGTAAAGTGCAGCGAGGCAGGGGTGAACGGAGGCGAGGGGAGGTTGAGGGTCAAAGGCTCGCCGGGAGTGTGCTTGACGCCCCATTGGAGGAGCTGGGTGTTGAAGTACGGGACGCGGGAGACGAGGATGAAGCGGTGGGATGAGAAGATAGCGGTGGTGCTCTCGTGGTTTGTGGAGGAGAATACGCCGGTAAGGGCGATGCGGACGTCAGAGTACAGGCGAGAGCGCCACATGAAGACGAAGTCTTTTCGTAGCTTGTCTACCCTGCCCTCGTCGGTATCGCCGCCTTCTGCACCATCCGTGGAATCGAAGAGAAATTCAAAGGCGGAGCCGAGACCCTTGCCGGTATATAGGTATTCGAGCTCATTTGAGAAGAGCGTCGAGTTGATGGTGGTGGGAATGCGGAGGAGCGCGCCGGTGTTCGTGGATGGAGCAGGGGAGCTCGAGCGGTAGGCGGCCGGAGAAGGGGAGCGGGAGGGGGAGGAGAAGTCGACGCCGAGACCAAGATTTAAGGAGAGGGCAGACTGGGCAGGAAGCGTGCCCGTCGGAGAAGAAGAGTAGGGAAGAGGGGATGCAGCGGGCGGAGGCTTGAACGAGAAGTACCGCGCTTGGAAAGATGGTGGTGCGCGAGCGTACACCACAGCTGCAACAGTCTATTCAGTATATGGCTGATTTCAAAATCGACCACGGCAAACGCGTATTCCTCCCAGCTCTGTCGTTGTTGGACGGGAGTGCCCTGTGTCTTGAGCAAGTTATTCCGCAGTCGCAGTACATATCTGTAGCATATGTATCGCAGAACAACGGAGCGATCATGGCTGTGCGTACTATCCATGCCAGCGCCGCCCCACACGTAGAGAATGTGGTCATCCGAGGCTCGCCAAGTGCGACATGCAAAGCGAGACGGGGGCGTGCCGCCTTGCAAGGCGCGTCGCGCCGTCTCTGGCGATCATGCGATCAAGCAGCCTCCACTGATTTTGTGGCACACGTTCCGCTAGATACGTGCGCCAGAGGGTCGGACTTTCCGGTAAGAGATATAGCGGACAGAGCGGGCGAAGGAGACACGAAATTGGGCGGAATGCCGTCTCACAGGAAACGACGAGTAGATGACAACGGACCTTTATGGCCCCAGACCTCTTCTGCTCCAGCACTAGCTTCGCTCTGAAGCTCCCAGACGACGTCCGCGAAGCGTTCCTTCGCGTGATCGAACAGAGCCTGGAGGTCGTCCTGCCAGTTGGTGGTCGAGTTTCGTGTCGCCTCCTGGAGACCGGGCGGAGTAGCAGTCGTGGTCGGGGCCATAGCAGGAGATTGAGAGAAAGCAGTAGATTAGGAGCAGACAAGACAGAAAATGAGACGAGGGCGGGCAGCCCGAGAGGGAGGAGGAAGGGGTATCGGGAGAAGAGAGCTCGGCAAGGACGGAGGGGACGTGCGCTCGGTATCGCGCTCGCCCAGCGCGGAGTGTGATTTCCCACTCGCCACCACGAGGCCCGCCTCCGCCCTTTTGTCTCTCCACTCCTCCCCGTCCCCGCCAACGGCGACCGCAACAATACATTCGCGCGACCTCGAGCGCGCTGCGTGCAATGTGACAGTGGTCGGCTGATCGTGCACAACATCCCCACTGCCGCCGCTCTGACCACAGCCGCCACCGATGCCCCCCATGTGCGCTCTCTCGTTCTTGCTCTTCGCGCTGCAACTCACCGCAGTCACACAGACGCGACAAGTTTACGATCCACTCCAAGGCCGTCGTCTGCCAGGATGTCGAGCTCAAGGGCGACATCACCATAGGCGCAGGTGCGCGTCCCCTTCGCCCGCCGCTCGTGGCACACGCGTAACCGCTTGCGCCCGTAGGCACCATCGTCCACCCCAAGGCGACCATCTTCGCCATTGCAGGGCCCATTGTCATCGGCTCCGGCTGCATTATCGAGGAGGGCGCGATCATCGTGAACAGGTTCGTCGCCACCTTCTCTCGCCGCCCGCGCGGTCGCGCTTACCCTTCCCAGGCGCAAAGAAGTGATGCACATCGGGGACGATAACCTCTTCGAGATTGGCTGCCGTACGTCTCTCTTACTTTTGCCTCCTTCGGTCCGGAGAGATGCATTTGGAGCTCTGTTACCGCGTCATCCCTGCGGCCTCGCGTCTCACTCCGCGTTCACAGGCGTCGAGTGTCCAACCGTCGGAAATTGCAACACAGTCTGCACACGCGCACGCGTGCACCACACCCTCCGCATGTCCTCGTACTGCGTGATCGGCGCCGGCGTCCTCGTCGTGCCCACCGAAGACGAGATCCTCGACGAGTACACCGTCATACACGGGCCTGCCGCCGAACGGCGCATATGGAGCGGCCGCGGCAAGGTCCAGGAGATGGACCTCCGGAGGAAACACGCGGAGTATCTCCGCGAGATGCTGCCCAAGTTCAACCGGCTTAGAAGGGGTGACGGCGCGTAGTGTGGTGTGTCTGAGCATTGTTTCTCATGTTCTAGTGATATAATTACGGTCGACGCCTTAATCCTTCAAGCTTCACAGATATACCAACCGCGTGCAGACAGCTGGCGTTGTGAGTGCAAGTATGGACCGACTGTCTTTTGGTCTCCGGGCGCCATCGGTGGAAGAGTAAAATAGATGTATATTAAAGTGAGGTCGCCTACCCAGCCCTGTGGGATTGGCTCGACGCGAGAACTCTTCCCTACATCGGAGCGGGGGGAATTCGCTCTCTTTGATAACGTGCGTCCATCACACGAAGCACCTCAATCACCTCGCGCGCAGAGCCGTGCTCGGCGAATGACTTACGCAGTGCGACGGTGACTTTGCAAAGTCGGCCAGCACCTGAATTGATCTCTAGTTGAGCAGGCTTCGACCAACGGGTCGCCGCAGGTGAGATATGGCATGACAACTACTATTCTCGAGACACGGTCGTACAAGACGAAGTGGCCGTTCCTTCTCTGGACGGACGTGCGATGTCCAACTCTCCCACCAATTCCTCTCGGTTCCGCACGCGTACGCGCTTCACTCCTGTGCTACGTGGCAAGCCGGTTTGTGTTTCTTCCAGTCCGCCTTCTGACACCCCTCTGAGCAGTAGGACACGGTCTTACAACGCGAGCACTTCCGCATTTTGTTGTCGGGCCAGGAGCACTTCGCGCATCGGGTCGCATCTGAACCCAACGAATCCTTGTCAAAGCGCGGACCAGGCGGGGCGATGTTCCGAAGTGATCCTAGCCTCGCACCTCCAGCAGCGTTGGCGTCGTCACGTTCGAATATGGGCTCCAGGTACGGGACCGCGAAGAGCGGGGAAAGCGCGACGCGGGTGACGAATGGCGCAAGCCTCTTCCACGCGTCGTCTTTGCACATCCCATCGACGTCCTTCCCGCGGCCGCAGCTGCACAGCGGCCCGTCGCCCGCCATGATCTCCAACTCGAGAGGGATCTTGCCCCGCGCGGCGTACTCGCAGCTCTTCCCGTGTCTCCATGTCGTCCGGCACCGCTCAACCAATGCAGGCAGGAGCTGCTTCCAGGTGCGCATCTCGTCTCCGTAAACCGGCACAGACTGAAACCCTGGCGCCGCGCTGAGCCAGGGACCCGCGATTGACATGACCTGTTTGGAGAGCGAAAGGACGAATGCGTCACACACAATCGTGTGGCATGCGAGGTCGTAGCGCAGATCTCTGACAAAGAACACGGTGTCCGTTGTACCTGTTGTTTGATCGAGGAGAGAGAATATTTGAGGGCGGGTTGGGGAGTTGCGCTTCTCTACGTCCGCGAACCCGAGCATGATTGCGTGTATCGTATCCTTCACTAGCGAGAGGCCGGTGAGTTCTCCACGTGTCCTCGCCTCCCGCTCCCTGTGCGACATTTGCAGACTGACATGCGGATTGAACCATTTGCCGGAGGGACCTTTTAGTGCAGCGACCTCCACGGTTGGTAGGCGATCGAGGTTCACTCTATGGAGGTTCCAAGGGAAAAGTGTGTCGCCTGTACGAATCACCGGGAACGGATTCGACTGCAAGGCCCACACATCGGGGAAGGGCATTGCGACGGGAACAACAACCTGAGTTGTGCATCAGTAAGCACCGGGTGTCCTGAGTACGTCAAGAAATTTATATATACCTCGATGTATGATGACTTGCGTGCGAGACGTGTCCTGTGCTGACTGCCGATGACCGGAAGCGGGCATACGAGATCCTGCGAGTGTCCTCCCAAGGTGACGCGCATTCTAAACGGGGAGGCTTGCCCCACAGTCGGGAACCCACCATTGGATAACGTCGCCTTAGATTCCATATCCTCGACCTGAACCCTCGCTGTCAGGGAGGCCACACGATTTGTGGTCACCTCTAGATCAACGGCGACGAACGTCTGTGTTCCGATACGGGTCCCTCCGCCGCTCTCTACGAGGGGAGCATCTGAAGGAGGAATCAGTGTCATAGGGAGTTGACACTGAGGTTCGGGGACGATATAGACATGTTGAGCATCGGAGATAATAGTCGAGTACACCGCTAGACGTAACCCCAGAATGTGCACAAAGGCTCGTCTTGCGTCCGGGGTGGCTTTTATGCAGAGCTCTACGACAAGCGTCTCCGGGTGGTCCGAAGACTCGGTCAACACCCAGATGGGCACCACGAACGACACAACGAGTGGAGAGTCTTCAGCATCGAAGCCCCCCGCTATTTCATGAACGTCGACTTTCGGGCTTGAAGGAGTTCCACTGCGGACTATCATACCGAACGTCGCGTCGACGGACTGAAAGCCCCATTCGAAGCGACCGCCTGGCACTCGCACCACGCCGTGTAGGGAGGGTGTCTCCAATCGACTGCGCAAAACGGCAAGGTGTTGGTGCGGGACGGCGAGGTAGATACGAGCTAGATGCGGAAGGGATGACCATCTAGAAAAGAGGCCGGAGGGGGAGCGTGGTTCGAGGTACGCGGGGTGGGTATAGACTTGGTGGCGATGTAGCTGGGCGAAGAGGTCCTGACGGTACACGACGTCGAACGGATGCGGCCCATTGGTGCTTCCAGAACGCACTATTTGATCGACGAGCAGCTGAATGGTCTCCGCCCATTGAGTCTCGGGGATGGGGCACCGCAAGCGTACGAGGCGAAGGAAGAGCACAAATGTCTCTCTGGAAAACTTGACAACAGAGGATCGTCTTGTTGCCGTGGAGAGACGGTTGCGTTCAAGCTGGAGGATATAGGTGGGATCTTCATCTCCGAAGAGTCGATTGTACGTATCGTGCAGGATGGATGCGAGCTCCCGAGGATTCATATGAAGATGGGAAGCGGCACGATCGCTTGAGAGAGATTGCTTCCATGTCAAGACCTGCCGACACGGAGAGTCGTCGTCTTTGTCACTAAACATCCCGGACGAGTGATACGAACTGCTGAAGCCGGATAGAGCCTCTACGGGGCAAAGTCCCAGCAGTAGCGTGATCACAGAGATGTCGGCAGGCAAAAGAGGTGCGAGGTGTGCCGCAAAATCAGAGTGTTGTACCTGCAGAAGCTCTGTGTAGAGCACGCTGCTCAACGATTTTGAAGTCGATAGCAGAGGTATCATGGATAGTAGGATGTTGAGTAGCCCAACGTGGTCAGAGAGGTTTGAGGTGTCGATGATGTCGAAGACCACGGGCGCGTAACGGTCGCGGTATTCGGCTATGCAGAGCTCGAGAGTCGTAGATGTCCAAGGTGAAACGAAAGGGGGAGTAGTACTGGTCGCCCCGCACACGTCCCATGTAGACAACGCGTTGGCGATGTGGATCGCATCCCCCAAGATGAAGCGGACAACGAGGGCGCTCTGAGAGGAAGCCGAGTTCACCCGGGCTCTGAACGCCTGACACCAATGCTGGAACTCCTCTTGCGCCGCTGCGACTGCTTGTTGTGCGGAAGGGGCTCCCTGAGCACAATTCCCGAATAGTGGTGCGAGATGGAATGGAGCTAACGGGTGTGTACCGTAATGTACGCTGAAGCCTTCGCCGCGCCTCGATTGCAGGAACGTCGGATTTGCATGTCGGGTGTCCGTAGTGTCGTCACGGTGGGCGTCAGACGATGTTGTCCCCGTGCTCCAGTAACGAGAGAACTGTTCTGTGAAGACGCGCACCGCCTCCAGTAAGAGGGGCTCACACGACCGAGTAGGCGAGATGAGGACCTCGTAGTCTCTGTTGTGTTCCATCACCTTCTTTCTGCCCGCGTCGATCATTTTGCGAGTGGAAAGGGCTCGTGGACTTCCTACTGGGACGGTAGAGTCGACGTAGAACGACCAAAGTCGCCGCAGGTCGAGAAGAGTGTGTTCCGTCCCCACTCGAAGGAAAGCGCCGTAGGAGGATGCATGCCAGGCCTCCAGCGTGACGGAACAGGCGAGCAGCTTGCGGCATTGCACGACAAGTGCGGTATGTGAGTCGTCGTCGAGGTACATGTGCATGTAGATATCCCAGATTGCGGTCTGTGTGACATCATCGAAGATCATGGCGAGGAGCAATACGTTTCTCGCTATGGAACGGTCACTATGTTTAGCACGGCGTTACAGTAGATCAGCGTACCTAAAACTCCCGGGTCGTGATCGCCACACGTGAAGTCGAGTTTCCGTGGCACTGTCCAGGTTTATCGTAAGACGGAGTAGCAGCAGCATGATTTATCCATCACTCACGCGAAGGCGACTCGCAGAATACGGTATAGAGCACATTTCTTGGGTCACCGCATGGGAGTGACAATATGTTTTCGGATACGTCGGGCGGTAGATCGCGAACTAGTGAAACTGCAGATGTGTTGCCAATGAGATAGAAGTAGTATTCCCCGGGCCAGTAGAGCGGTGAAGCCATCGCTCGCTGATGTGAGCGCAAGTGTTAGCTGGTATCAAACAGCAGATTTGCAGGGAGGAAGTGATGCGCCTGGGGAAATTGGGGGGTACGGGCGAGCACGGGCAGTCGTTAATAAATACACAGTCGCCTCGTGGCGGCATCGTGCCAGGTGCTGCGGTAGCAGTGCACACCTGCGATAGAACACGATAGCGGAGCGGGAAGTATTTGATCTGCCTTTAATATGTACTGGCTGTCAGCGCGGGAGTTCAGAGTGCTGAACGCGGAACAGAAACTCGCCCTGGATGAGGTGTGCAAATTTCCGAGGAGTACTCAGATTCGTGCTAACCGCCGAGTCTCTCACGCATGGTACTTAAAAGACTCTTGGTACTGAGAACGAGTCTTCCCCCGCGTGTATCAACTGTGAAACTATCCAGATCAGTACTAAACGAACTTTCGAAGAGACAAACTCACCTCACCAGCATTTAAGCGGGGAGGGGCCTATCCCCGTCCTGCCGAGGCACTGCGCCCATGCAACCACTATTCCGTTCCTGGCCTCATAGTCGAGTGTGCAAGAGGGGAAATTACCAGTATCTTTGCGATGTCTGAGTCGTGCAAGGTCGTGGTGCAGAGGTAAGTATAGGGTCGACCTCGGTTTGACAGAAGTGTGCACGGCACGAAAATACGCTTGGCGTCCATCGTTTGGCGCGCAAGGATCAGCGTCGGGCTTGTCGGACTGGAAGATTTTGAACGTAGAACAATTGGAAAATCACTTAACTCGTCCTTGGATCTTAAAGTTAGTGACAGATACACGGAGTCATGGTATGATCTATACCATACAAATACTGTGTAAATGTCGTACGATACCGAAAAATGTGTAAAGTATTCTCGAGTAAGCCACGGCACGCCGGGTTCTACCAGTCCGCAGGCCCACCAGTCACCTTACTTTTGGACCAAGGTCGCACACGCGAGTTTGTGGGCCTTCCAGTCAGATCTCTGGCAGGTCTTAGAACAATACATCACGATTCTGCACCTGCCGCACTTCTTGAAATCACGGAGCCGTCCCGGTTTGTTGCACCTGCTGCACCGACTCGCTGCGTTGACACTAGCCTCAGCGGTGTCTTCGCCCGGGATAGGCGCACGGACCTGCTCCAAGTATGACACAGCAAATAGCGGGGAGAGCGCGATCCGAGTCACCAGCGGGGCGAAGTCCCGCCAAAGCTCCACCGCGCGCATGCCCTCGACGTCCTTCCCGCGTCCGCAGCTGCACAGCGGGTCCCCGCCGCGGACTTCCATGGAGAGCGGTATCCGCCCCTCTGCGACGTACTCGCAATTGCGGGCGTGGCTCCATGACGTCCTGCAGCGTTCGACCAACGCAGGCAGGAGCTGCTTCCACGCGCGAGTTTCCCCCTCGTGCGTCCGCGCGTTCGTGACGGTGACCCCGGAGTTGCGGAGGCGCGTGAGCCACAGCTGGATGGTGGGCATGTGCTCTGCGCACAGGGGCAGCACGAAGGCGTCGCACACGACGGTGTGCGCCGCCATGTCGTATCGAAGGCCCTGGACGAACAGGATCGTGTCGATGTCGTTCGTCGCATTGTCCCGCAGCGCGAACACTTTCTTGGGCGGACCCTTCGGGTATCCGGCTGCCTTGGTCAGGATGAACTGGATGGTGTTCTTCAGGAGTGTGAGCGTCTCCACCGGGGTGATGGCGCCGCCCTTCATCAGGCTCTCACGCTCCGAGAACTGAGAGCTGACATGCGTATTCAGCCAGCCCTGCGATGCGGCGTGTTTGTCGACCACGGGCAGTTGGTCGAGATTGACGCGATGCATGTTCCAAGCCACCAGGGCGTCGCCTCCGCGGACGACGGGGAAAGGATCGACCTTCAACCCGTCCTCTTTTCCTAAGGAGGGGACAGCGAAGGGCATGTAGACCTACACATGCTCGTGATCAGCAAACGACGCACAGTGAGACTCGGCTAAGGACGTGGCACAACATACCAGTACTTCACCCAGCTTGCCATGGCCAGCTATCCACTTGCTGCCGCAAATGGGTACAGGAAAGACGAGGTGCTGCCCCTGTGCTCCGAGCGCGACACGGACTGTGCAAGGCGAGGTTTGAGAAAAGTGAGGCACTACGCCGCCGTCGCGCTTCGCGAATAGCGCCCTGGCCATCGGGTCTTCGACGAGAAGCAGCGTGGTCATGATTCTAGCGACGCCGGGCTCGTCGTGTTTGAACTCAACGATGACCGTCTGCTGCGTGCCGAGAGCCTCAGGCGGCCTAGCGAAAATCTCTGCAGGCGGCTCCACGGTCTGCGGGGGCTCGAGAGAGTGCACGGGGACTACGTGGACGCGCTCCACGTCGTCGAGACACGCAGAGGCGATGGTGAGGTCCTTTCCCAATGTAAGTCCGAAGACCGCCCTGGCCCTCGGGCTGGCCGCGACAGCGAGCTGGATGAACGTAGTGTCGGGTGGAGCGACATCAGTCAAGGTGCGGGTGGGGATGATGAACGAGAGTACCAACGGTCCTGACGCCGAGGACCTGTCTCCTTTGACCACGACGGCCGGCTCTGAAGGTGTCCCCACGTCGACGATGTGCCCGGAGACAGCGTGCACAGACTCGAAGACGTGTTTGACACCCGCAGAGGACCGGACGACGCAGTGAAGAGGAGGATTCGGGAGGGTGTCGGAGAACCGCTGAAGCACCTCGAGTCCGCCGTCGGGAATGGTCAAGTAGACGCGCACGAGCGGAGGTATCGTCGTCCACCGGGACAGTCTGCCGACCGGCGGTCTATGATACTCTTCCACAGCGGGGACGGTGAAGAGACGGTGTCGGTTGAGTAGCATCATGAGTTCCAGGTGACTAAAGTCGCCCGACCCAGTTTGCACCAGATTGCTGGAGCGTAGGTGGTCGAGGAAAAGCCTTGCAGTTTCGAGCCATTTGGCGTTGGAGAGGCGTAAGCGAGCCCGAAGAAAGCGCAGGAGGACGATGAAGGTCTCTCTGGTGTAGCTAGCGCGTGTTTGAGCGCCGCGGTCGAGCCTTGCCGCAGACGAGTTTTCTGCACCGAACCAATAGCTGTAGATATCGAAAAGGAGCAGAGATAGTGCTGGGGGAGGGATGTCGATGAGTGCAGGGGGATGGGCCGACGATGCTGCAAGTCTGTCGGCCGTCCAAGGCCTTCTCCAAGTGAGTCTCTGGCGGTGTCTCTGCTTGGACGTCTGTCTAACACCTCTCGTTTGTTCTTGCCAAGATAGAATTTGAAGCTCGTGGGTATCACTTTGCGTGGTGAAGCCGGAGAGCGCGTCAACTGGTGCGAGATTGAAAAGCAGCGTGGTCGTAGCCAAATCAGAGACAAGCATCGAAGCGAATTGTTGTGCAGCGTCCGAGTGTTTGTCAGGATCGAGGGAGTGTTCCGTGTATAGAACGCCACTAGCAGGCGAGCGCTCGGAAAGGAGGGGGATAGAAGAGAGGAGGACGTTGACTAGCCCGACGTCGTCGCAGAGGTTGGACGTGTCGATCGCATCAAAGCGAGTCGGTGCACGAGAGTGGTTGTATTCGTGAGCGTTGAGCTGAAAGACCTGACCCGTCCACGGCGCCACCGGAACCGCATCCCACTGAGAAAGCGCTGCATCGTTTCTAGCCTGCAGCGCTTGCGAGACCGCCAGGGGGTCGCCCAAGAGGAACCGGACGACGAGTTGATGCTGTTCGGCCGAGGCACGAATGTGGAACGCCTCGCACCAGTCGCGGAACTGCTCTTGGGCGGTAGACACCAGAAGCTTCGTCATAGGGGTGTTGCGCGCATTCCCGAAGACGTGAGCAAGGTGAAACGGAGCAAGCGGATCCGTGCTATTGTGAACGGCGAAGCCCTCGCCGGCTCCAGAGTATAGGAATGTCGGGTTGACGTGGGTCGCGGTCGGAGGCTCCGCAGTCGAGGAGCTGGTAGATCCAGTTTGCCAGTATTCTCGCAAGTGTTCGGTGTACTTGGCGGAGGCGCGATAAGAGAACGGCCCTGAAGAGGGCTCGGCGGAGACCGCGGCGGACGCTTCCGCACTTCCGTAGTGCTCTGCAAGCACCCTCTTCGAGCCATCGGCCATGAGTTGGCGCAGGGCGAGAGCACGATTGTCCATCGCCTCGGATGCCGCAAGATAGAGCGACCAGTGGCGGTGCACCTCCTCCAGAGTGAAATCGGTGCCCATGCGGAGAGTTGACGCGTAAGATGACGCTTGCCAAGCGCTGACGGTCTCCGATTGTTCCACGAGTTTGCGACACTGAGCGGTGAAGGCGGCAAGGGTGTCGTCATCGAAGTACAGATCAAGGAAGATATTCCATACGATATTTGCTGGAATATTGTCGAGAATCATCGAGAGGAGTAGGATGTTCCTAGCTATTGGGAAGTTCAGCGTTTGCATCGTAGGAAAGTACACACCACGCACCTATCACCCCCGGGTCGTGATCGCAACACGTGAAGTCGAGCGTTCGGTGAACTTGATGCGAGTTATGAAGGAAGATCAGTCTATGTCGTGCGCATTAAAACGAAGCGCGAGGACTTACTTGCAGACGTCTCGGAATAAACAGTGTATAGAACACTCGTAGGGTCGCCGCATGGAAGCAGCAGGATCGCGACTTGCGGTTCTGGAGGCAAATCTCGTGTAAGACATAGAGCTGAACGACTCCCGATAGGATAGAAGTGAGATCTGCCAGGCAAAGAGAGCGGTACCGCCATTGTATAGCAGAAGCTGTAATAGCGTCGAGAACAAGCAGTCAGAGACAATTATCTCACACGACCATGGGATAGTCAAGCGCTCTGAGCGACGTGGCGAATAGCCTTCAGGGAGGTGCCATGAGGTGCTCTCGAGCGTCACGGTTGCTTCGGGTGGAGGAATGTTACGTATCCCGAACTTCGCAGTCTGGCCCACGCGCTGCTTTCTACATCGCGAGAGAGATCACAAAGCCGCAATAGAGCTATTTATCAGATGTCCCGTGCCAGAACATATATGCGAAGAAGAAACTCACGTCGACACCAGCGTGGATTGAGAAACTAGAGGCTGCGGAATGTTTTCTTGATTTCAGAGTGTCAGGGCCAAATCTTGGAGGGCTTGGACTTGACGTCGGATTCCTCCACATACAGACAGAATCAGCTGTATAGCGCTCCTATATTTCTTGAAGAGCATCCGGCATCAATATTTGAATGACCGGGTGGTGGTGCAAAACGGAGTCGACTGATCAACCGGCGCTTATTACAAAATCGATTCGAGCCACAGCACGCGATTGGCGCTGGCTTCGTCTTGCTCTTGACACCCACTTACGCCCACACACGCTCAGGCAGCGGCTGAACAAAACACTCCTGTGTCTCAACGAGATATGAGTCTTGGAACATACAACTCTACTTCTTCTGCTTGGTAAAATCGACCTTTCCAGGCTCTATCTACGGTGTCTGGCGCGCGACTACCAGCTGGTACACCGAACCCTCGCGCGGCTTTGTGCTTCCGTTTAAACTTCGCGACAGAGTTCCTGATAATATTGTGGTGAATCATGTGGCATACTTTGCGCCGGGAGGAGCGTTAGCTGTCCGGCAGGTCCGCGGAGGGCCAAAACCATCTTCTCGCTATCTTGCTTGCGCTTCCCGAAGCACTCTCCTCTATCACCTGTCGGGTCCTATATCCGCGTCGCACTCACTCCGCCTCGGTGTTATCTGTTCTGCTCGCCTGATCTCCACCGGACCGCCGCCATCCGACTGCGAGCTTATAGCTTGGGCGGACATGCTCTATCTGCGCCAGCTCCCGTAGCCTCGAAGATCTCGCGGCGCTCACCTCTCTGATGCATAACTATCTGCTACCTCTCCGCGAGTGGGCATCGCGACTCCGAACTGCTTGTAACTCTAGGGAGGAGTTCTTGCGATATGTGCACACCGAAGGCAACTCCCAAGGCGGCCACTCGTGGTCGAACGAAGATCTCAAGCCTTCTCCGCCTCATATGGTGAATTGGAAGTGGTATAACTTCTGCCTCTTCTGGTTCGGAATGGGGTTTGGAAACTGGTATGTCATTTTATGTTCGTATGCAAAGCATCGCTGATATTGTTCCAGGTCACTCGGGTCTAGCATCGTCGGGGCAGGGCTCACATGGTGGCAGGCGACGATCGTCGTCTGGATCGCTGCATTCGTAGCCGGGCTCTGCATGGCTCTGAACTCTCGCGCAGCCGCGAACTACCATGTCGGATACCCTGTCATCCTCAGGACGTGCTTCGGGATGTACGGCCACTACTGGCCCGTGTTCGCTCGCGGTGCCTGCGCGATGCTATGGGTTTCCATACTCAGTACGCCGATCCCTTCGAGCCGTTGCGCGACTTCGTAAGCTCACTGTAGCAGACTTTCAGGGAGGCGCCTTCGTATCCACAATGCTGCGATGCGTGATCGGGAAGCGATGGGACAATCTCGGCTCGCAGTTCCCTCCGTCCGTTGGGACGACTCTCCAGCGATTCATCGGGTTTCTCATCTTCTGGGCGATCGAGCTACCGTTCTGTTCCCTAAGGCCGAACCGGCTGCGCTGGCTCTATACGTTCAAGGCGTGGACGTTGCCTCCGTCCGTGTTCGGGCTGCTCATCTACTGCTTGGTGCAGAGCCGTGGTCAGCTTGCCTCCGACGAAGCTCTAGCGGGATTGTCGGCACGTCCCCGTGGTTCTGCCCTAGTATGGCTGGTCGTTGGCTCAATCAACTCCGCAATGGGTAACTGGGTATGTGATTTGTCTGTCATGTCGTAGTCCAAGCTAATGTTTATCGACCTAGTCGACTTTCATCGCTAACATGCCGGACTTCTCCCGCTACGCCACAAATCCCTCCGCCGTCATGTGGACTCATATCATATTTGTCCCATTTCCTGCTGCACTCGTAAGTCCTCCTTCACGCGGCACGTTTCAGCGTCGCTCACTCTTCATTCAGGGAGGCATGATAGGAATCTTCGGCACGTCCTGCATCCAGCGGGCCTGGGGCGTCACGCTCTGGAACCAGTGGGACCTCCTCGACGCCATCCTCGAGCACTCCTGGACCGGCCCCGCACGCCTCGGCGTCTTCCTCCTCGCCTTCTGCGCCGCGCTCTTCAACTTCGGCACCATCCTCGGCGCGAACCTGCTCCCCTTCGCGAGCGACGCGACCGCGCTCCTCCCCGCGTACGTGAACCTCACGCGCGGGATGTGGCTCTGCTGCACGGTCTCGCTCGCGCTCATGCCCTGGAAGCTGCTCGCGTCCGCGGACGGCTTCCTGGCGTTCCTAGAGGGCTATGGGATCTTCATGGGTCCGACTGCTGCGATCATGGTTGCGGACTACTGGGTCGTGCGCAGGGGCAACATCCATATCGCGGACGCGTACTCGTCGGCGCCCGGCGCGCGGTACATGTACTTTCATGGGTTCAACCTCAACGCCATCGCCGCGTACTTCTGTGGGATGATGATCCCGTTTGTGGGATTCGTCGGGACGTTTGGCATCCCCGTGCCCAAGGCTGCGACAAGATGCGACGAGATTGGATGGTACGTCAGCGCCGTCGTGGCCGGGGTTGTTTACATCACCCTCTGTCGCCTCCATCCATTGGACAACATCGACAAGTCCCTCGACTGGGAAGATCTTGCGCGCGAATTCGCAGAAAGCCGTAAACTGTCGCACGACAAGAGCAGTACCGAACAGGATAGTGCAGAGGCGGAGAAGGAGGGCGCCGAGATGTCGAGTAAAGACGACGTAGAGGTATCGTACGTCCAAGTTGTCTGACAATGCACAGCGCCGGTACGTGTTCACCGCCCAGTACTGTTTTGATGGCAGTTCTGACATGACGTAGTGTTACATGCGGCGTTCGTCTACTTCTTTAGATATTGTAATATATACATGCTCACAGCGAGGGATCGAAAAGGATCTTCCCGCATTGCCCTTTATCGAACAGCTTGTACATATCCACAGCCTCGCCAAACCCGACAATCCTGTCGATCAAACTCGCCTCCGCGCCCACGCCCCCGAACACGTCCTGCCGCTTCAACAGGATCTCGAGCGCGATCGGGAACATCGCGCGCACCGGACACCGCCCAAAGTCAAACGACACGTTCTTGTTGTACACGTCGCGACCGGTGAACGGCAGCGGCGGCTCCTGGTGCACCCCGACGGAGCTGACAGTGCCGAAGGGGCGCACGATGTCGTACGCCAGGCTGAGCGCGCTGGGGTTGCCGACGACCTGCGAGTACGTGAGTAGGTGAGTACGTCATGTTGGGGCGTATGGGATAGTAGATGGTACCTCGAGGACGGCGTTACAACCGGCGCCGCTCGTCCACTCGAGCGCGAGCGCCTTGCCGTCTTCGACGGACGCGATCGCGAAGCGGCCGTTGCCCTTCCCGGACTGCGCGATTGCGTCGTAGACAGCCTGCATCTTGCTCCTGCGGGGCTCGAGCGGGTCGATCGCGATTACTTGGTACACGAGCCCCTGGCTCTTCTCGAGACCCGCGAGGATGTCTAGCAGGCTGACGGTCGCGCACTCGAGTGCAGGTGAGTAGGCATTACACGTTTTGAGGAGCAAGTGACTTACTACTCCGACAGGGCCTAGTCCGACAATGCCAATCGTGAGGATGCGGTCGTCCTTCTGAAGCGCGTTCGAGGCTTGTCCCTGTGCGGTAGCCCCCCCGGGCACGAAGCCGCCGAATGGGTACGGCACGCCCGTCAGCATCGGCGCGATCTTCGGGTGCTGCAGCGCCTGCATAGCTGCGAATACGCCCGTCGGGAGGATGTCTGCGAGCAGGATAAGAGAGCTATCCGCCAGCTGTGTCGTGCTGGACGACTGCAGCGCGCCGAGGTTGAAAAGTGTCCCGCCGGCCTTGGGGATGCGGATGTACTCTGCTTGCCCTCCCGGGAGTGTCGGGATGCCGAATAGGCATGAGTGGATGCACCGGCAGGTGAACCCGATTCGGCAGAAGCTGAGGACACGGTAAGTGGAGGATTCCGTTCGATATGAAACTCGAATACTCACTGGCACTCTCCGCATGAGACGGTGAACGGGGAGACGACCTTGTCCCCGACGCGGAGGGTAGAGTACAACTCGGGCCGGCCAGTCGCGTCTGCATGGAAGCTAGGTCCGAGTGCGACGACTTCGCCCACGACTTCGTGACCGCATGTCAGACTGTTTTGTAGATAGAGCGCGGTCAGCTGCATCCTCCAGCCCAGATACGTCCGCGTACTCGCTATCGACATCTTCGTGGCCACGGTAGATATGCAAGTCGCTCCCGCAGAGGCCCGCGAGCTAGGTGAATGATTTAGTCGGGTCGCCTCCACTGAAGCTCAACGGATCGCGTACCGTAACTTTAACGATAGCATCGTCCGGGTCTACGATCCTAGTTGGCATCAAGCATTAGTCAATCGTGTGCGAATTCCGAGTCTGGCTTACTGGGGAATAGGGACGGATTCGACGCGGATATCGTACGCTGGTGGGTACCACCGCACCGCGCGTTGTGTCCCTGACAGAGTTTGCGCCGCCTTCGCTTCTTGTGTTGCCATTCTGTCTTGTTTAGCTTGCGTTGAGATGATCTTCGCGGTCAGGAGAGAGTGCTATCGGACAGAACTGAGAATGAGTCGACGGTGGAAGCACCGTTTCCCCGCAAATTCATTACGGCGGGCCGTGCGCCCCAATCGGGCCGGGAGTGTATACCCTGGTCTCCGGTAGGATGATCGGGGATCCCCCCTCCCTCCTTCATCGTACTTTCAGATTCGAGAGTGTCGGTCTTATTCCTGACATTTGTGTGGGTGCGCTTGCGTACGGTGGATGTGCAGCCCGAGTGCTCGTACACTGCAGTATGCAGTAGTCATACGATCAGCGACTTACAGTCCGCGCAACGTGATGAGTAAAACCGCGCGTTGGCCGGGTAAAATAACAAATGTCCGCGCACTGCCATTTCCGCGTCCGAGATGAGGAGTTTCGAGATGGAGAACTCGGACGATATGTCCCTCGATGGCGGTGGGAGGAGAGGAGAAAGGGAGCACAGCTTTGAGCGAGCCAATCAGCCCGCGCGTAGATATGGGCGCCTACGGGAAAGCAGCGGTGCGCCCGATCTGGCTTGATCGAGCGCGCGCGTCTTGTCCGACATTCCTCCTCCTCCTCTTCCTCCTCCTCCCTCCTTCACCTCTGCCGTCTCTTCGCGCGCATCACCATAGGCGAGACCGCTCTGCCAAAGCCAGGACCGGACGGACGAAGGATACTGCCAGGCTGCGCTGATGTGAGTCCTTCGAGTCGCCGCCTGCACCCCGGGCGGTCCACGCTGTGTCGACTGCGCACGAGTCGCGACGCGACGGCGCTGACAACTGCCTCAGTAGAAATACCTGCACCGCGCCCTTCTCAGACCGCCCACTTCGCCGCTCATCCCGACAATCACCTCTCCCAAACCCGTCTCGACCCTCTCTTGTACACGATGGCCGCTCCCCCGGTGCCCCCCAGACCGTTCGATGACTATGATCAGCCTCGCCGCTCGCATGAAGGCTCGCCGCCTGCCCTGCCCCCTCTCCCGCCCGATTTTCACTCGGATCAGTATCAATCAGGTCCTCATTACGAGGATCCTCTCGTCGCACCTCGCCCACACAAGTTGCAGCCGGATCTCCCACAAAACGTGCGTCCTGATCTGTCACCTCTGCCGCTCATCGTGTTGACATCATGTAGATGGCGCGCACGCTCGACGAACAGGTCTATACGCCTTCCTACCAACCCCCACAAGGCGCCAACCCTCCTTCCTTCCAACCACCACAATCATCGAGCCCTCCCTCCTTCCCCCAACCCATGTTCAACTCCTCGTACGCGCCCTCCCCGCCCCAATCGTCGCAACCACCACCCCACCAGGCAAATCTAGGCTTCGCTGCTCCCCAAGGACGTCCCGTGTCTCGCGGCGCTAGCCCACTACCCCCTCCGCAAGGCTCCGACTGGTCTCCCTGGTCCCCTCCGCCCCAACAGCAACCTCTCGGTTTCGCTGAGTCCTTTTCTGGAAACCATCTACAGCACCAGCACCAGCGCTCTCTTTCTGCCTCGCTCGCTGGTCTCAACCTCGGTCCGCGTACTTCACCTCCCGCCCCTTCTGGCGCGCGCGATGGACCCCCTTCGCTCACCGCGCCTCTCCCTACGGTCGCAGTCCTTTCGGTGCAGCAGATGGCTATCCAACAACCGACGTGCGATCCCGCGCGCAAGGTTGTGTGGTGCAAAGACGTGCTCGCGCTCGTCGATCGCGCCCAACAGCTTCTCGCCCGCACAAACTCCAATGCGAGCGATCCCGCGGTCGGCCCGGCGAAGATCGATGACCCCGAACTCCAGAAGCTCGTCAACGTCGCGCTCCCCATCGTCCTGCAGATCGCCTCCCAGGCGCAACAGGGCCCGCTCGCTCCTCACGTCGCCGAGGCGATCTACATGCGCGCAACGTGCGCCGCGACCGGCATCTACCCGCAATTCATCCCGCACGACCCGCGCAACGCGTTCCGGGACTTTGAGCGCGCAGCGAAGGCGGGCTATCACTCCGCGTGGTTCAAGCTGGGGCGCGAGTACGAGAACTTCGGGGACATGCAGCATGCGAAGGACTGTTTCGAGCGCGGGATGAAACACGGCGTCGAAAGCTGTTACTATGTGCGTGTTCCCCGCCTCCTGCTCACCGCCTCGCGTCTAACTCCGCACAGCGCCTCGGAATGGCCCACCTCATGGGCCAGCTTGGTTTCCAGCCGGACCCGCAGGCCGCGCTGCCGCTGCTCAGCCGCGCCGCGACGCTCGCGACCATCGAGGTGCCGCAGCCGGCGTACGTATACGGCCTGCTGCTGCTCAACGAGTTCGAGCATGTGTCTATCCCCGCGCACCTCTTCCAAACTCTACTTCCTCCGGGTGTGACGCCACAGGAGGAGGCGCGGCGACACCTCGAGCGCGCGGCGTACCTCAACTTTGCGCCTGCGCAGTACAAGCTCGGGCATGCGTACGAGTTCGCCACGCCGCCATTCCCATTCGACGCGCTGCTTAGCGTTCAATACTACTCGCTCGCCAGCCAGCAGGGAGAGATCGAGGCAGATATGGCGCTTAGCAAGTGGTTCCTGTGCGGCGCCGAGGGCGCGTTCGACAAGGACGAGGGGCTCGCATGGACGTTCGCGGAGAAGGCTGCACGGAAGGGTTTGCCTAGCGCGGAATTTGCGCTCGGGTACTATTCTGAGGTGGGCGTCGGCGGCCCCAAGGACGTGAACTCCGCGCGCAAGTGGTACAGCAGGGTGCGTACACGCGTTTGCTTATCCTCTGTATCTATCTGACACTACTTCCGTTGCGTAGGCCGCAGAGCATGGCAACACCGACGCGGTCGAGCGACTGCAGGCCCTCGCGCAGCCCGACGCGCAGGCGCTCTCGCGCGAACAGCACGAGACGCTGACGGACGCGAAGCTTGTGCGCAAACGCACGCAGGCGAAGCAGCGCTCCGAGGCCGTCGCAGGTGCAGCGGGCGCGGCAGCGCTCCCCGCACCCGTGCCTGTGGAGAAACGCAGCCAGATCGTGAGCAACATCCGCAAGAACTCGATGCTCGGCGGTCCGGTGGCGGGTGGTGTGGGTATGGGGGCGTACGGCGCCGCCGCAGGCGCGCCCTCCGGATACGGTCCCCCTGGGCCCTCTGGCTACGCCCCCTCCGGATACGGTTCTGGGCTGCCACAGACGAGTTCGCCACCGAGCATGGGGCGGCCTACGCGTCTGCCTCAGGTCGACGAGCAGGGCTACTCCGGCCGTCGTCCGTCAGGGCCCCCTGGCAGTGTACCACCCCCCGGCGCGTCTCCGCCCCACGGCGCCTCCGCGCGCCCGCGCCCGAACAGCCAGCAACAGCAGTTCCAGCATGCGGCCCGCTACAGCCTCGTCGACCCCGGGTCGGGCGGCTCCTCGCCCGCGCCGTCGCCGCGCCCCCCGCAACAACAGGCTGCGGGGACGCCGCCGCTGCGCCGACCGGGTGGACCGGGCTCTTCGGCGGGCGCCCCTCAACCGCTACCGCAGAGCGCGCCTGAGCCGGCGCCGCAGAGGCCGAAGCCGGGCAATGGCCCGAAGACGTTCGAGGAGATGGGTATCGCGACGCAGCGCGCAGAGGAGAACGGGAACTGCGTGGTGATGTGAGGCGCGCGCGTCTCGTGTTTTCCGAGTCGAAAGGAAAGGTCCGGCGTGGACGCAGACGGGGGAGGCTCGCTCGCTCGCATGCAGAGGACTAGTATTCAACACTGCTGCCATTGGATCCGGAGGGGTGCTTGTGCGATATCCGTAGACCAACGTAACGACTGTATATCTTAGCTGACGCTCGCTTATGTATCCCCTGCACTTTGCTCTCGGACGCTCATTGCGGACCCTTTACATATCCACATCCCGGCGCATTGTCGCCGTACAGACATTTCGAAGCACGGACTCTAGAGGATTGCTGTTCGAGTGTAAAATCTCGGCCGGCCATAATCGATGAATTTGTGGGGAAATCCACCGTTGAGGCGTTCTCAAGCGACCACTCCGCGCCGTTCGGACTCGGTCACTCTCTGTGCGGTAAGTTCGCGTTCTTCAGAGTTGGGGCTCGTGTTCTGACTACCCGTCTTGTCTACGCACCGCGCGAGCATATCCGTATGCAGGCTCCTTCATTTGACGTGGAGGTCCCGGGTCCGTTGTGGCTGCATCAGCAAAATAACACTCCTTCCACGCATCAGCACTTCCGCAAAACTATTATAGCCCTTACATCAGCATTTTGACACCTTGACTTGGGCCACCCTCCAAGTACCTCAAGACATATAAGTAGTCTGAAGTAGTTGACTTACGAAGACCAGTCGATTTACTTCCAAAGTCGGACTTTCTTGGCGAAGACTGGCCTCTCCTTGATAAGACCATGAAGTATGTGAAGACGGGCATGAAGTTAATAGATAAGACTACTATAAGACGAACATAGAGCCTATATTAAACCTGCTTTCGGTCTTGAGACGGTACTTAAGCATGTATATACACACACGCACACGAACTTCGACGACTTCAACGAATGGATTGGAAGCGCCGACAGATGATGGTACTACACGGACTACAGATAACGGGAGCCAAGATCTAGCGGGCTTGTTGAGCAGCCCTTATATAATCTACACCTGGTCAAGGAGGCGACACGGTGGCGTGATGGGATGAGGCACAAGCAGGAATCAGATGGATGAGCATCTATCAGTCTAGGCAAGCCTCGAGAGCGAGCAGGAATCAACAGATCGGGAAGACAGGAGCAGACGTAGACTTCGGGCGGGAAGGGTATCGTACTTGGGCAGGCGGTTGAGCACCGCCGCAGTGAGAGCGTGACGCCACACCGGGTTGAGCCGGTGTAATACAGACACTGTACCACACAGTTATACGAGCATTCTGTGGGTTCTGTAAGCAGTGATATACAAGCCACTCAAATGCTTACTTACCTTTACTCGGACTCGGCGTCGGAGTTAGTCATCGCCTCCTCGCTGGCGGACTCGATAGTGATCGCCTGTCGATCTTGAACAGCCTTGTGCAGGCGGTAACGGTCCCGAGCGACATCCAAGATCGTAATCCAGTGCTCGAACGAGAGGCTCTTCGCACGCGCAAACATGTTGGCCACCTTTGTCGAAGACTTGGCGACGCCGCGCGACACAACAGTCTTGTCGCCCCAGTTGTCGGCGGAGAAGTGGCCAGCGTGGCCCTGCGGAATGATCCGCTGGCCGGTCAACCACACGTTGAGCGCACATTCAACCTGCATTGAAGTTAGTGAGAAAATGACGACATACTTGTAGCAGACTACTCACCGCCAGAGCAGCCAGGATGAGCGCACCAGAAGGGCGTAAATCCGACTCTCCTTCACCCTGACGAAGAGCTAGAGGCACAGCTTGGAGCACAGGGATGTGGACGAGACCGAAGGTCCCCAGTACGAACTCTCCCTGAAGGCATCCCTGCATAGTGATAGTCGATGAGATCGAACCGCCGCATGACGTGTACCAAATGATACATACCTTCTTCTTTCCGTCTTCCCAGACACGCCACAAGAACGGCGCCTTCATGGCAGCAACGTGGGTGCCGAGTTGGATGCGGCAGAACGTGGCGCGCACTTCGGGTTCAGCCATGCCAGCCTTCACGAAGTGGGCCTCGAGGACATGCAGCGCGGCCGCAGCGAACTTACCCTGCCACTCCGTGATTCGGTTGTTCATCTAATGCATCGTGTCAGCCTGTACCGTGAGCCAAGGATATAAGGGACACTCGCCAAGGAGAAGACCACATCATTCACTTCAATGACATGGTCGTAAGTGGGGAAGACACGGTTGAAAAGGGCCTGACGTTCATCCGTAGTGAGGCTGTACCACGGCAGCAGCGTGCTCATGGTAGCCCGTGTGAGAGGGATGAGCTCGTGCGTGAAGCGGTGACGGATCTCAGGTTCGAGGTCGGAGGTGTTCCATCTACGACGGTTTGCGCCGCTCTGACCGGTTGGGCGATGGACGATGCCGACGATATTGGCGGGTACATGGGCGACATGAGTCAGGTTGTCGGCAGGCTGGAACAGTAACGAGTGTCAGGGAATGAGGGTGCACATGGAAGAAGCCATGAACACTCACAAAGTCGTCGTCCGAGTCCGAGCTCTCAGACTGCAGGCCCTGAATTTGCCAAGTTGCTGCTGGCACAGGCGCTACGGCGGCAGCCTCCACCGTGTCATCTTCGTCTTGCAGGCCCCCATAGTCGTTCAGACCACCGGCATCCGCCGCCGCAGTGTCTGCACCAGCATCCGCATCGACGGGTTCTGGGGCAAACTTCGTGGTACCCACGTTGGTGGGTTTGGGAGCAGCCGGTTTGCGAGCACTATCATGAGGATATGAAACAGTCCGCTTCATGCGGAGGCCTGCAGAAGACATACCTCTCTGCTGTGCGTGAAGCCGGGGTCGTGCGCGCTGAAGCAACAGGTGTCGTTGCAAGCTTGCGAGGAGTAGGTGTCGGAATCGATCTGGCGGTGGACTTGCCCTTCAAATTTGATTTGTTGGGAGTGTCCCAGCCAGCGCGAAGGCCGGTTAGCGTCGCCGCAACCTTTGGCTTCTTACTCGCCTTCAAGTTGCCAGAGTCGCTGAGAGGAGGCCGACAAATGACAGATATGGTGAGCGAATGAGTCAGGGAAGAGCAACAGCCACGTCGACCTGAGTGACTCACACGTTCTCGGTGGTTATGCTGGAAGTCACAGACTTCCTCTTTGGTGCTGCACCTCTGTCAGACCGGGCAGCCATGACGTCCGTGCGATGAACCTTGACTTGACGCCGACTGGTGGTTTTCTTTGGCTGTACCTCGTCGTCATCATCGCTCTGCTGCTCGAAATCATCCCCAGGCTCTAACACTATAATACCTGCCACTGAGGTCAGTGGCACAAATACGGGTGGATACGGATTGAATACGGAGGCCATAGCTCGGGAACCGTTAGGAATTCTACCCCGTATTTGCACGTTTCTGAGTAGCCCTGGGTCATGGCTACGCACTGATGGTGTTTTCGTAGCAGTGGCTGTGCTGGCCGGCCCAAACAGAGCCCGTATTCACAAAATACGGGTGTAACCAAAATCTGCCAACTGAATACGGGCCCGTATCTCACTGGCAACCCTGGATACGGGGACATATTTTGATATATTCCAGTAGCCCTGATCGAGGGCTATCAGGATCTGGTGCGATTGTGGCTGTGCACCCACTCTGACCTATGGCCACCTG